GATCAGGAGACCACCTGGTAACAGAGACCACATTTTGAAGATCCCTTGATCAGTCTTCTTGGACAGGATTCACTGTACAGTCAACTTCGCCAATAACGACATTCGGCGGGGCATCAGAAAAGTGTCCTTATTCGCGAAGTATCCTTATAACCGAAGTCCCATTTGAATGTATGTGAACCCATATTTTGTATAGTATGACATGCATATCAAAATCAAGCTCTTTTCTTGCTCTATGTCAATGTGTACTTTATTTTCATATTGCAGTTGAAAGGAACTAAAAATTCAATATGCAAGGGAAATCAATTGAAAAATATGCCTTTTTGAGCCATCTACAGGGCCAGAGACATGTACATGTATGATTACCGTAAAGTACCGCCAGAGCGCCCCGTCTCGCGAGAGCGCCCCACCTTGATTTTACAGCCAAGGGAAGACACTCGTATGGCAGAATGCTACTAAGTTTGTACGGTGTGAGAACCTTCGTGTACTAAGGTCACGCTTGTCATGTTTTGTGTGGAGCTCGCATCCGCTTGAAAGTACAGTCAGACCTCGCTTAACCGCACACATCTGTTTTCCACAAAAATATCCGGATAGGCGAGGGAACCGGATAACTGAACACACATACTGTATATGCATGTGGCATATCAAAAGCAATGACATCGTACATACATGTAGACGGGTCCTATGCAGTACAACTAGCGTGCACAGTATCTAAAACAAGCGAGAAAAATGACAAGTGCATGCAACTGAGTGCTGTTCACATGCACCCAGCAGGTCAAGGACCTCATTTGCCTGTACAACTCCCTGATTCTAGCTTCTGCAAGGCACATGCAACCGGATACGACGAAGCTTTTTGTACACATTTCAACCAGTTTGTACACAAAATCATGCACCGGTATGCGGATCGCGGGGTCCGGTTATGTTGTATGCATAACATATGCTGCACATCGGTAACCAGCGATTTTCTTCCGGATGGCGAGGGATCCGGATAAACGAGGACCGGATAAGCGAGGTCTGACTGTAAACTGGATACGGATTGACTGCAATATGTGTACAAGGTCCGTGTCGTATGACCTACAGACAGGAACCACCTCCACAAGACGACCACGAAAGGACGAGATGGTGGGGCGCTCTGGCGCTACTTTACGGTATTACTGTACTGCATCATGTACAACTACATGTACATGATTGTACAGTAATACCGTATAGGTGTGCTGGTAAATCCAACAATTTTGAAGCCAACATAAAAAAGGAAGAAAAAGCCCCTCCCCCCCCCCCCCCCCCTTAACCTTGGCTGCATTTTTCTTGCATGTGTTTAATAATATCCATCGCCATAGGTTCTGGTGCATGACAGGTACATGTACATGTACTTGACTGACAGGTACTTGAAATAGCTGTCAAAAGCCCAGAAAGTCGTTATTCAAGCAGTGAATATGACCTCGGGGCACTAAAAGCATGTCGCTATACGCGAATTGTCGTTATTCAGATAGTCGTTATATCCGAAGTTAAATGTATACAGTTAGATGGGACTTTGCTCTGGGCATGGAAATTCGGTCGTTATTCGCGAATTGTCGTTATATCCGCAGTCGTTATTAGCGAAGTTGACTGTACATATAATTATTGCTATGGTCGGGCGCATGTACATGTATAGTGCCGTGGTAGTGAGTTTTCAACTGTTGGAAGTGGGTATACTTGAAGTAGTACGGCCCATTGCTTTTAACACACGTCTACCATTTAGTTAAGTTAAGTTGTGCTCGCAGAGATTTGTTTGTTGATGTGTCCGCTGCTGCTGATCTTTCTGCTCTGCAGGCTCGTGTTCCGACATCATCAGCGCGGGCTTTCCATTTGGTCTCTCCGAGCTGGTCATTGCCTTTATCCTGTATGACACACTGCAAGCACTGGCCTACTTACACCGAATGGGATACATACACCGGTACGTTGGGGGCGCTTCATCTAAGACCTTCTCTGGCGCTATGGCCTTCAACTACTAGTATTTGCAGGGAGGAATGCGTGGAGTGGCTCCAGAAAACATTTTCGAGGGCTTGTTTTTTGGTGTTAGTTATACTTCAAAAGTAGAACTAGTATTCATGTATTCTTGCATGTACTTGCATGTATTCTTGGATGTACTTGCATGTATTCTTGCATGTACTTGTATGTATTCTTGCATGTACTTGTATGTATTCTTGCATGTACTTGCATGTATTCTTGGATGTACTATCATGGACATGAAAATCCGGCCGATCGTCGAGCGGCCCAGGGCGCTGGCCATGCAGCCGTGATTACCCATACGATCAACATGTGCACTCCAACGCAGCGTTCTGTACGCACTGAGGGCGCCGGCCCCGTGTCAATCGACCGGATTTCCATGTCCACGACGGTGCTTGCATGGATTCTTTGTGTGTCCGTGTTTGTTGATAGCTGTGATGTTTATTTTTGGCGACTGTGTGCATGTGTGTGGTGGGTGTGTGCGTGTGTTCTTGCATGTGTATGGTGTTGTTGTTGCGGCTGTTGCTGCTGCTGCCGTGGCTGCATTTGTTGTGTTTGTTGCTTCTGTTGCTGGTACAGTGGTGTGACATTGCGTCACCTTCTCGTTGGTCTGGATGGCCACAGTCGTCTTGGAGGTCAACGGTGTATGCTAGACCAGTACCACCATGGTGTGCAGCACAAAAAAGAATTTCTCTTTGACAGTCCCGTCACCACTTTCCCCTGGCTGGCACCGGAAGTCTTAGAGCAAGTAAGTACACGCAGGCAGTGGGCAGTGGACAGTGCAGCCTGTAATAATCTGCTGTTTGTGCCCTGCTGCAGTGGGGAGGTGTAGTGTGGGGGTGCAGTCTTTACACCAGGCATTGGTCACACTAAGCCCTGCGCCTGTTTGTGTCGGCATGCTAGTGTGTGTGTGTGTGTGTGTGTGTGTGTGTGTGTGTGTGTGTGTGTGTGTGTGTGTGTGTGTGTGTGTGTGTGTGTGTGTGTGTGTGTGCAAGATGTTGAATGGTGTAATCCCAGCACAAGTTGCTATGTCTAACATAGCTGTTCGCTATCATCGCTTCCGCGATGGGCATGTCTGAGGTGTGTGTGTGTGTGTGTGTGTGTGTGTGTGTGTGTGCTGTGTGTGTGTGTGTGCCGTGTGTGTGTGTGTTGGTGGGAAGAGGGAGGTGCAGGTGTGTATGTGTCGCAGTGTCAAAATACATAATATGTGGATGATTCTACACCGTGTATACTCATACTAGTACTTGAGTAGCTGAATCTGAAACCTTTTTTTTCTGGTCTCTGCTTTTCTACCTGTGTACAGAATCTAGCTGGCTATGATTATAAATCTGATATTTATAGCATAGGTGTATGCGCCGTGGAGCTAGCTCACGGAGTCACGCCATTTGCAGACATGACTACCACCCAGGTCAGTGATTACTGAAGACGTGTTCACACACCACCAGTTGTGTGCACTGGGCAACAAGTGGGATGGCTGCGTGTACATGTATGCTGTGTCAGGGGGTCCATGTGGCTGTGTGTGTGTGTGTTTGAGGGGGGGGGGGGGGTGCTCGTGCATGCATGCGTGTATGGAGAGAGTGACAGGGTCAGCATTCTCTTTGGTTGTTTCTGTGTGATTTCAAGTTGGATATTGATTGGTCCCTGTACCCTGGACAAAGCTCAGGTCTCTGTGCCATGGGTCAACTCTACATTTGGCTGTGTGTATCTACACAGACATGTACGTAGACGTGTGTTGTTGTTGAATTCTTTATTGTCACGATGGCACCATCGCCAATAAGAGATAATATTAATTTTGTTGTTGGTGTTGTTGTTGTTGTTGGTGTTGTTGTTGTTGTTGTTATCGTCGGCGGCGTCGTTGCTGTTACTGACTGGCAGATGCTGCTTCTGAAGTTGACCTCTGATCCACCTACTCTGGTTGAGCCACCGACAGGCCCTAAGAGGTTCTCAGCGCATTTCCACTCGGTGAGTACCTGTACTTGCTGCACAGCTGCAGTGACTGCCAGTGAGCTGGCCTTTCACTTCGCTACAGATAAATACTAACTCCACTCGGATGTTTTTCTACTGCTCCATGCCATGGCCCATGTGTGGCATGCGTGTGCAGTTTACTGGCTTGGCGTGTACTTTGCCACTGGCAATGCCTGCTGTTGGCATGGTGTTGTGGTGGTGTGGTGCTGTGGTGTTGAGGTGTTGTGGTGTGGTGTGTTGCTGATGAGCAATTCTATTCTAGTGCGTGTAGACAATACTAGAGACATGGCCGTCGATATAGACTTAGCTTGCTGTAGCTGGTGTTGGTAGTTACAGCATCTTCACTTGGGACAATTCTTAGTTCCTGGCTTTCTTGCGTCCATGCAAACACAGTGTATGTGTTGCTGTCGTGTATTGTTTGTTCTCTTGTTTCCCTGGCTGCACAGTTTGTGAATTCCTGTTTAGACAGAGATCCTGGCAAGCGGTGAGTACGCTACTGGACACAGAAATCCAACCTCATTGATAGAATAGTGCCGGGCGTAGGAGAAGGCTTGCATTTAGTGACAATGTGCACATGCTGGCTGAGACCCTTGTGGGGGGTGGCCAGGGTGGCTGTATGCACATGATTGTGTGTCTGTGTGTGCATGTGTGTGTTTGCATGTGTGGGTGTGTGGGTGTGTGTCTGTATGTGTGTGTGTGTGTGTTTGGTTCTGCCAACACCTGCTGTACACGCCCTGACACGGTATTACTGTGAGGTGGTAGGTGGTAATGTTGACGTGTCTTTATTTTTGATTTGTGCTTCTTCAGGCCGAGTGCTACACGGTTGCTACTTCATCCTTTCTTTAAGCAGGTCAGTGTATGCCTAGTCATTGCCTACATCCGTGAAAACTAACGTTTGCCTGGTGTGAAGGCATCATTGCCTGCTCACTTCATGAAGTAAAGAACCATACCATACATCATGTCATGCACACACGTGCACACACGCGCACACACACACGCACACACACAGACACACACACACACACACACCCGTAACAGCAATGGCAGAAGCAAATGTTTCCCTTGCTGCTCTTGACTCAGTGGAATATACCACATTGTTGTCACGATCATTACCTCTGTTGAAGATTGGAGACTGGAGCTCAATGGGGTGTTGCCATACACAATGCTACTGTCTATGGATTGAATCAAGTGGAGAGTGAGCTCGTTCCACTTCGTTGATCATGCCGCCGCAGTGTTTGCTTGGTAGTGGCCGTACATGTTCACCTGCTGCCCTGTCATTCTTCTGCAGCAACTGCATGCACAGCAACTGCATGCACAGCAACCGCATGTATCTTACTTGTGCCTCGGCCCCTACTCTGCTGCTGCTGCTGCCACTGACATGGTGTTGGCCAATGTCTGTACAATGCTACTGTACTGTGCAAATGCTATCAACGATCTCAATTCAATGAATTCATTCATTTTTTAAATCTTTCCCTCTGTGACAATGTGAAGAAGGTAGGTTTGGAGGCATGCTGCTGCCTCGTCGAGTTCACACCCTTGTCGTGTAGTATCTTTCTGCCGTGGCTACTGGCTGTGGGCTCTGCTTGCAAATCCCAAGTACTGTGTTTGTATCTGCGTTGCTCTTGCTTGCGTGCAGATTAAACGGAAAGATTGTGGAGTGTGGATGGTTCCACAGCTCATTTATCCCGTCTATCCACTCAACCCAGAGAACCAGGAGATCTGTAAGTGCCGCCGTCGCCATCGTTCTAGTACACGCTGTGCAGCTTCGCTGCTTTAGACCACCGCCGTGACTGCTGCTGTGTTAGCGGTGGAAAGTGTGTGTGTGTGTGTGTGTGTGTGTGTGTGTGTGTGTGTGTGTGTGTGTGTGTGTGTGTGTGTGGTGTGGTGTGTGTGTAGAAAAAGAAAAGAAAAAAAAAGAAAAAAAATGGAAAAATGAAAAATAGGGATTCACTGGCCAGAAAAAGTCACTTCAAACAGCTGTGTGGTGGATACCAGGCTAAAAATAGTGGCGGTCAATTCATCAGCCTTGCAAGCTGTTGGATGGTGTAATCCCAGCACAAGTTGCTATGTCTAAAACATAGCTGTTCGCTATCATCGCTCCCGCGATGGGCATGTCTGAGTCTGAGAGAGTGTGTGTGTGTGTGTGTGTGTGTGTGTGTGTGTGTGTGTGTGTGTGTGTGTGTGTGTGTGTGTGTGTGTGTGTGAAGCCGGTTTCGGAGCAGAGAGGTGCGTGTCAGTGCCCTCGATGTCATCATTGGTTCCGGAGCCGCGGTGGCTTGGCTGTGCATCGTTGCTCCGCTTCTACCTCATGCCTAGCACCGACCGCACCAGCTGCTGTTGCCACCGATGACACTACCGCTCGGAGTTGCTGCAATGCTCACTGTGACATCTGCAATCGTTGTTTCCGCTCAACCCAAGGACGCAACCGCCATCGCTGTTCAATGCACTGCCACCGTCCAACGGCTAGAGAACGGGACAAGTTCCCACATATCTGTATCTGCTCTCGCCGGTTCCGACTAGTCTCGCATCTGGAGCGCCATCAGGTGGCATGCTATTTCTCTCTCTCTCTCTCTCTCTCTGCTGCCCCTCCGGTGCCCACGCGGCCCTAGTGGTAGTGGCTCTACAGGACAGGACAGGTGTGTGTGTGTGTGTGTTTTTCTATTGCTGTTGACAACTGCTCCTCGGTGGCAGGTTTGTCAGTTGGTTGACTGGTTTAGTGACTGGCTGACCCTGATTTGTATGTTGTTGTTGTTGTTTGTGCAGCTGGTGATGAAGGTCCTTTACCTCTAGACTCGCTTCTGGACTACAACGACCCGCCTGAACCGTTCTGGGACTTTGACACGAACCCACCAATGGCGGCCGCTGCAGCAACAGCAGAAGCTGCAGCAACAGTGCAGGAAACATGATGTGTGTGTGTGTGCCTACGTGTGCGTGTGTCTGTCTGTCTGCAGGCACGGGTATGCGTGGCATGCGTGGTCTGTGTGCTACTCACCGCGTGTATCGCTGCCGTCACCCTGACAACCCAACACTATAGGCTCTTCTAGTCTTGTTAATGCTGGGTCTTATTTTGTGATTGCGCACGCGCGCGTGCGCGCACACACACATGCACATACACACACATACATACACACGCATACATACACATACACACACACACACACACGCACACACTCTCTCTCTCTCTGTCTCCCTCTTTCTCTATATATCTCTATCTGTCGTGTCTGTCTCTCTCTCTCTCTCTCTCTCTCTCTCTCTCTCTCTCTCTCTCTCTTTCTTTCTCTCTCGTCTTTTACCGTGCTCTAGTTCACATGAAATTAATAGTGATAGTATGCAAAGAACTGCGGCACACCCCCTACACGCACACATATATACATAGATACACGTGTGTGCTTACATATATGCATAGAAAGAGAGATCCACATGCGCACGATCAGCCAGAGGAAGTATATAGCTCCTCGCCGCCACGTGCATGCACATATACACACATGCACAGGCGTGTTTTTTGTTTTGTTTTTAAATTATCACTACGATAGAGTAGACGAGATGGGGCCCTCGCGGCAACACCCGCTATTCCAATACTACTTGTCATAGTGTAGGATTTGTACAGGCACCTCTGCTCTAGCCATCTTTATCCTCTTATGGCCCCCTGCATGTCTTCTCGATAACTGCAGCGGTTTTATTTCACCTCTCTCTCTCTCTCTCTCTCTCTCTCTCTCTCTCTCTCTCTCTCTCTCTCTCTCTCTCTCTCTCTCTCTCTCTCTCTCTCTCTCTCTCTTTCTCTTACTTGAAAAAGTACTTGCGTTCTTGTTCTCAGCTTCCCCGTGTTGATTGGCTGTATCTTGATTGTTTTTTTATGTTCTCAATGGAGTCCATTAGTGTACCGGTTCTATCTCTCTAAAACTTAGCTTTTATTCGGTATTTTGCAAGGTGCTTTATTTGTACCTTGTTTCTTCTTTTGTCGCTGTGTCCGTTGTGGTTGTCGCCGTCGAATAGACTGCAGAAGTGTATGCTTGTGTTTGTTGTAACTTTTACTGCTGTCGTTCCGCTACCCCCTGCTGCTCTTTCTGCTGGCAAGAACACTATTATACTCTATTATCCTTATCGCCTCTCTGCTTCAGAATTGGTCGCCGCTACCTACCTGCCAAAGTTGAGAAGTTCAATCGTGCATTCCAACGTCACATTTGTACATTATTTAGACTGGCTAAGTTTGTGTACAGCTTTGTATGTCGTCGCTGCAACGTAGTCGTGTATGCATTGGTAAAGAGTTGTAATTCATCATGTTCAAGATCAACCGCTGACCTCACTGGGCTTGTGATAGCTGTACTATGATAAGTTAGTCTATTATTATTTATACATGTATCTACTTCTACTTTGTCATAATTATATAGGGCCAATAAACAAAGAATCTGATCGATCCTGGACTGCCGCTCGCTCCGTGTCGAGTGTCTGTCTGCGAGAGCGTGCATGTGGTTTCCGAGTGTCATAATCCCATTGGACCAACGCAGTACAGCCTACAGGTCCGGGAGCTAGGCAGAAACACATGTATGGGTAGGTCAGGGAGCCAGGCCTACACAGCCATATGCATGCACGGCTAGCCGAGCCTACACAGACATATGCATGGGTAGGTCGGGAGCCCTACACAGACATACATGTATGCATGGCATGGGTAGGGCTCCCTGGTACAGGTCACAGCCTATCAATGACCATGATGACGGCCTTGCCATGTCGGTCGTATTGGCAAGTGCCATGGTTAGTTGCCATGGTTACCTAGCTACAGTAGCTATAGGGGAGGTTTACAAACACACGTAACGGATATACGGGAATGTGGGTGATACACGTAAAGTTCGTCCAATGGACCCACGTTCGCAACGTTGTTTTTAGTCACACCAAGAGTACATAAACGGTTTATGTACTCTTGGTCACACGGAACAAACAAAAGCATGAAGCATAAGGACCAAACTTGGTTTGGTCGAAGCTCATCGAATATTTTGATTTCGTGGTTCGAAAAGTTCTCCAGCTGAGCACCCTCACAGCTTGCGCAATGCGCTCCATTCTGATTTTCACCCATGTTCTGGCGGAATGTGTGTGAGCCTCCACACACAGATTACGTGGGACTAAACCTCCCTACTGTGTTGGTTGCAAGACACACACACACAAACACACGCACGCGCGCACGCACACACGCACACACACAGACCATGCCATGGAAAACCTACACACACCGTCAGTGTTCAGCGTCATTTCGTCTTCTACTTAGAACAACAGTGATAATTGATTGGAGGTGTTCACACCACCACCACAGGCTCACCACAGTCAACGAAACACTGGAATTGGAAATAACAAAAAAATGTAAAGCTACTGTAAAAGAAAAAAGCTGACGAAAAGAAGAAAGTTTTTCAAGAAACCATCAAGCTGACCAGGCACCAGGCCAGGTCGGAGTTGCAGTGACTGTAGCTACAGCACAGAGCACTGTTACAAAGCACACACAATCTATAGCACAACCCTCTCTTGTTCTTTCCGCATCTACATCTGTAAGCCACAGACAGTCCTTGGCTCTCCATTCGAAAATAAATAAATGAACGTTTCTCTCTTCCATTCCCTCAACTAACAATTTTTTTTGTTTTCTTGAAAGGATTCGAATATATACATTTAATGTATATATTCGAATCCTTTCAAGAAAACAAAAAAATAAAAATAAAAAAGGCGCAGCCAGAACCGTCTAAGGTGTTTCACTTCACTGCCTTTGCTGCTGGGCTGCACGCGGTGTAAAGAAGACATGCTCTACGACGATGGAGACTGGATTGACGACAGGCATGCTGGATGTGACAGCTGGCATACTGGACCGGTATACACGTAGGTCGTATTCATCATCGTGATGACATCATCCTGTGCAGACAGCCACCTGATGACATCATCGTGTCTAGAGAGCCATGTATCCAGCGCGATGAGACCTAGCGCGTACAACTAGGTAACCAATGAGCACGCCGAGCAGAAGCAGAGCAATGCCAACGCCGACAGCAATGGTCACAATGGGCAGAGGCTTCTTATGGCAAGGCTTGACTGAGCACAGAACAACACACACGCACACACACACACACACACACACACACACACACACACACGTACGGACACACACACACAAACATTCACATACAAGTATGTATACGCCCACACACCCACCAAATGACCTTGCTGATCTGCCAAAGCCACTGCACCCCCACCCCTTCCTCTACACACCGGTACAAGCCTGTGTGTATGCATACACCTGTGCATGTTGAACCTTGAACAGTGAACACAAGCCTGTGTGTATGCATACACAAAAAAAATACAAACCACGCGAAAATTCAATTTTTTGCTCTTTTGACAGCGCTGAGAAACCTTCAAATAGTGACGAGAAGACCAGACGTATCCCTTCGTGACAAGCTGCCACTTGTTCTTTTCAGGTCGAGCCTTTTTTGGGAGCTAGTCTGGTACATCGTCCACACTGCTGCCAAGTCTCGACTCCCCAAAATGAATGGAAGTGACGAATATGGAGGACGCTATCCTAGGTAAGTAACGTGATGGAATTTTCTCATCTTGACATGGTGTAACACGAACCTGAATTTCTCATTTGGACCCACTCGGACACCTCACCAGGTTGGGATATTTCGAAACTATACCTATTTGTCTACCATTCTACTTCATCTCAACGTGTTAGCGACTGTAACACTTTGGAAAACTCTTCCGAAAATTTCGAAACTTATTTAGTTGTATAGATTTGAACATAATGTTCAAGATCACTTGTTTTCAGCACTGAATGAGGCCAGGGCTGGTTGCTTTGTTGCTTTTTTAACTCCCAGGACTCGTGGACAGAAGAGGAAGAGCGACGACTTGGGTGTGGCTGCGAAGTCGGCCTGCCCAACGCCAATTACAATTACACCCACACACATACACACACCCTCTTGTACTTGTACACCACACACGCGCGCGCACGTGCGCATACATAAAACTATTCGTCTTTATCCTTTTGTGTTTGACATGATCACCTTTTGTACTACTCCCTGGTGATTATTTGCATAACATGAATGGCACAGGGATGACTTGTGGCATTGTACGCTGTACACGATTCCACGGTGCCATAAAAGTAACATTGGTTATATTCATGGATTATACCATGGTACGGTACGGAGGGTCTGTTTTCAGCCAATCAGCGCTCATCTAGCCATGGTTATATTGGCCAGTATAAATCCCGCGCGGGATTTATACTGGCCAATATAAATCCCGGTGCACGGTACTTACGTTAGGGCACTGCCGCCGTACAAGTTCACTGTCTGAAAGGCAGTGAACTTGTACGGCGGCAGTACTCCAGCGCGCGGACCATTCACAACAGACACCACATGCACGTGTACACTCCACAGAGAACGGCACACTGACGAGGAACAGTACACAATGGAAAAGAAGAATGACCTGGAATTCGTCTACAGAGTATTCTATTATACTGAATCTGAGGATAAAGAACGTCGAGTAACCACGAAGTATCCCAAATGGGTCAGCAATGTACATTGTACTTCAAAGAGCTGAAGATCATCAACAGACGGTCTCCTTCGTAACTAAGTTTATAATACAGAGTGTACTTCAACCCGATTGGAAAATGCTAGATTGGATTGAAATGTGATACAGTGATACAAAACAGTGTATGCAAATGCATCTACTTGCAAGTAGTAAGCAAAACTGATTATAAGATGCCGGATGTTAAAATCAGCACTGTACCATAATTATAGTAACACTTACTCCCAAAGAGTCCAAGCTGTAATCTAACTAGTGACGGTAGTTTGATTCAACGACAAACTCCAGCACCCCAGCAATTCAGTTGATTTCCGCACCGCTCACGAGACAAGATCATGAAGATGCTACAATATGCACTGGAACTGAAAGGAAATCTTATGCCAAACATCCACGGAGGAATCTCCTTCTGATGTTGCTCGACCATTCTTTCAATTGACAACTGATAACCATCAGAAGATGTTCGTGTACTGCATGATGTACGAGATCTCCAAATAGGTTCGTTGTTCTGGAAATGCGTAGGGGTACCTGGCATAAGTAGGATATGACCCTCCTAGTCGGATTATACCGTACCCTCATATAAATCCCTCCTGCTATCGCAGTCGGGATTTATATTCAGCCGGTATAACCCTCTGACTCGGGTTATATCCTCTACGTAATGATATTGTACGATTCTGATTGCGTACTCTCTTGGTGGCCATATTTCATCATCACGCAGCTCCCCACAAAGTACAAATTGTAGTAAAAGCAATTACGTACTATTACGTATAGTAATATGCAGACACATACAACTAGTAGTCACACAAAGTATCTATAATAAGCACACGTACTAGTAGTAGTACATAAGCAGGCTATCTTTATCCTTTTACGCTTGGTCTGATTACCTGCATACATGACTTACACGGCATGGTCACTTGCACCAGTAACAATGTATATAATTCCACACTGCCTTTATCATCAACACCAGTTCCTGTTAACGCGTAACATCTCAGGCTTTGTAGCAGGGAGTAGCACAATACCATTGTACCATTGTGCTACTCCTTGCTTGACACAGACATGCGTCATAGTGACATTTGCGAATAGCTAGCTGTCTCAGCAGTATAAAATTTATTTTATTTTGTGTTTCACTCAGACGACTATAGCATCTGGATTCGGAATAGCCTTACTATCTTGAGACGGGTCAGCCATACGGGTCAGCCATACCTGAAACATGTCGTTCATTGTGACTAAAACTTGCGTCAACATTATCTATTCCCCTAGAAACGACGTGAATAACTAAAAGTAATCCAAATTAAATTAGGAAGAAAAATTCACTCTTACAAGCCGCCCACGTAAATACTGGACACACTGAAGGTACCCGTGCGAAGACCAGCTGCTACTTGATATCCTTCGTAGGATCCATCCTCATCACTCAGCAAAGACTGATGGATTCCTTCCCTACATCGTCAAAACAAACTTCAAAAAGTACTGCTCGAAAACTTCTTGACAGCATTCGGGCACTCTCTTGAAGTGGTTCTATGAAATTTTTTGAAAAATGCTACGAAATGCTACGATAAAGGTACGCAAAGTACGACATTTCGTGACGTTTCCCGGGACACAGTGCTCCACAGAAAAGTGACCTGAGGCAAAGCTCGCCCGCCTGGATGTGTGCCCGTGTCATCTCCCGGTATTGTACTACTCCCTGCTTTTAATCTCCAGGGCGGGAGAAGACACGTGCACGTATTCACGCACACGCACCCCCCCCCCCCCCCCACCCCTACCACACACACATCATCCCTATTGCAACGCATACCTTTGGAAGAGAAGCTGTTGTTGGTAATATCTAGAGCTTGGGCACGGAAGTTAGTGAGGTCAATGACCAACAAACCAAAGATGCTGTTCACTCTCAACTCAACGTCATCACAAGAGTATGAGTGACCAAGTGGTGCGAAGACCTCTGGGCTGAGTGATCCATCATATATCGTACTGTTGGCATCGATAATGGTACTATTCGTACCATTAGTAGCATTGGATTCTATAGATATGACGCTGGCAATGAACCAAGAGTCATCGCCCTGTACCAGTGAAGAACGCACAAGCAGAAAAAGCAGCAGCAGCAGCAGCAAGACGTGCAGGAGACACATCAGAGGAAGAAAGGCTCCAAATAAGCTCTGGATGCAAACTCAAGCAATACATTGTGGATACTTTTTTCTGGATGGCCTAAAATCAAAAAAATATCACTACCGGTACATTTCCTTCTTAGTCTACTGGGCACTGAGTCGAATGGCGCGCCGGGTCCGAGAGAGAGAGAGAGAGAGAGAGAGAGAGAGAGAGAGAAAGAGAGAGAGAGAGCTGAGATGCTCCCTTCAACAGACAACACACTTCCCTCCTCACATGTATACATGTACACGGTGCAGTGCATACGGTGACGGGTGTAAGTGGCTTTACTTAGTAGCTATGGCAACGCATTCCACTGGGAATGAGGGTCTCAGACGATACACTGCAGTGCAGCAGCCTCCTCCAACCAAGGTCATGTGATTCAACGGCCAGAAGACTACTGATTCTGCTGTACCACAATCATTATTATTGTTAACGTTCCTTTTTAACCACCACCCCCCCCCCCAGTACCAGTACCTGCACACATGCAGATGCCCCCCCCCCCCCCCACCCCCCCCACGCACACATACATTAATATGCTTATACAATGCTGGACTTGAAAGTGCTGGGCACCAGTGCTACAATGGGGGGGGGGGGGGGGGGGGGGGTCACTCAGCAGATACTCGTAGAAACAACTTGCCTTCAACTCAAAGAAGAAGTTGAGTGCGAAATCCTCTGCAAACGTCAATAGTATGTTGGCTTGTGTAGTGCTACACTCACCCACTACCTCAGTGGCACGCAAGTTTTTTCCAGGATGCGCCCAAGGAACCTAAGGAACACAATGAGAAATCAGGCATGCAAACACCGTCCACACAGATACACACACACACACCCATACACCCACCCACACGCGTACACACACGCATACACGCATGCACAGAGAGAGAGACACACACACATATCATGACCCGGAACGGACTCGTTGCGAAAACAATCATGCATCGAGCTCCAGCAAGTGAAAAGCTGGACTCCAAATATTCCAGAGTTCTGTAAGAACCACGGTTAATAGATGATAATTATGCCAAATAACGTGCAACTAGACTTGAGAGGGCATTGCACACAAGTTGCATACAAATTATACTACAATGTGTACATGGTAGTCCCTGAGCTCTGCAGGAATGCAAGTCAAAGGTAACCGTACAACTTTGAACTTTGTATGCAACTACTCTGCAATGCCCTCTTAAGTCTAGTTGCACGTTATTTGGCATATCATCTATTGTCCTGCGAGGGATTTGGCACTTTCGTTAGTTGAGCAATCATGGCTTACAACTCATGGCAGGGGCCACCAAGTGTTGTCGTACGACGACACCATCAGTACATCTACGAGTCTGTGAAAACTAAACAAGAACAACGCAGGATACTCACATTCACGTGAGAGTTGGCTTGAAGTTTCATATCCGCTTCCAGGATGATGCAATCGGATCCGTTTTCAGAGCGCACCGCGTAGCGCGGTACTCGATGACGCGGTTTATCACCGCACTTCAGAACTAGATACACACACACACACACACACACACACACACACACACACACACACATGCACGCATGCGCGCACACACACACACACACACACACACACACACACACACACACACACACACACACACACAGCAGGTTAGACACACAGGAGTAACAGAATGCAATGTGACTTAACCTTTGTGTGAACCAGGCATGTATGATAGCTTAGAACTTCTCAGCGGTGTCGGACATGCTATGGTCACTACGGTCTTAACCGTAGCATCAAGAGTCCATAATCCCCCAGAGTGTGCAACTGGGATGGGGTTGTGGGACGGCGTAATCCGTGATGTACGTCATTTTTTAGGTCGGACTTGTCTCATTCCATCGACGCGGACACGCGGTGCAACACAGTCCACACTTCCCCTACTCATGATGTCATTATCATGACGTGCAACACGGATTTCGCCGTCCCAGATCTGAAAAGTGAAGTTGCGCACTCTGGGGGGGGGGGGGGGGGGGGTATGTACTCTTGGTAGTACCTATTGCCTCAGGCATCCCTTGAATCAATAGAATGCAACAATTTTGCCTCTATTAAAATGGCGACAATTTCTAGGTAAGGCCCTGGGGGGATACCTTCAAATGGTTGACCATACCACTCTAATATACCTTCAAATGGTTGACCATACCACCCTAATATACCTTCAAATGGTTGACCATACCACCCTAATATACAGTTGTGGAAAGTGAAATCCAACATTTGCCACCGGGGACAGCGCCACAAATGGGCACCAATGATGTAATGCACTGCACCTAATTTGTACTATAGAGCCGTATGCATCCCAAACAGACCGAAAGGTCTCAGCGTAGATACACACAGTTCACAAAATATTGTACACATAAGGAGTATTGGTATCCAATCCCCATTCATTTTTGCCAGCACCTTTTGAACCTTGACTGTGATGAGTACGAGTTTTGTCATCAGACAGATAAAGTTGTATGTAACACATGTACTGTACGTATGCAGGGCTGCAGGGGCTGCAGACTGCATGGTGCAGTCCCTTATGCCAAGTGTCGGATTTCACTTGCCGCAACTGTACCTTCAAATGGTTGACCATACCACCCTAATATACCTTCAAATGGTTGACCATACCACCCTAATATACCTTCAAATGGTTGACCATACCACCCTAATATACCTTCAAATGGTTGACCATACCACTCTAATATACCTTCAAATGGTTGACCATACCACTCTAATATACCTTCAAATGGTTGACCATACCACTCTAATATACCTTCAAATGGTTGACCATACCACCCTAATATACCTTCTGACACCCCATGCATTCTCCCTTTACTGGTAGATGTAATGACTTAGCCCCATATCTATCTGTCAATGTCACTGCATCCTCCCTCATGCTGGTACACACACACACACACACACACACACACACACACACACACACACACACACACACACACACACACACACACACACACACACACACACACACACACACACACACACACACACATGCAGTATCCCTCTCTTGACGTTTACCTTCAGAAGAGAGTCTGTTCTTCGTAATATCCAGAGCTTGGGTACGGATGTGGCCAAGGTCAAATTCCAGTAAACCGGAAGGGGTATCGACCATGACTTGAACATTGTCACACGAGTAGGACTGACCCAGTGGCGCGGAGACTTCTGGGGTAAATGTTGCGTTAGTTTCATATTCTGTACTACCATCACCACCGGTATAATTGAAAAGCAAAAACGATACTCTGGAAAGGTACCAAGAGTCCTCATCCTGTACCACGGCAGAACATGGATGCAAAAGCAGCAGCAGCAGGAGAAGCAAGGGAAGAAGGGTTCGAAATGAGCTCTAGACGATTACTCAAGCTGTACATGGAGAACACTTCAGCTCTTTGAAATGACATCAGGCAGATAATCATTGACGATAACTCAAAGCCACACAACCCGTTCACCGTTTGAAAGGTGCAGTGGGTGTGGGGAAAAAACATCAAAAGCTCATTGCTATCCCCTCAATTGACTGGAAACAGGCATTTGGGGGAAATTGATCCTTCCCATAGTTGACGCGTGGGTACGGTAATCGGCATGCTACGGTATACTGTGATCTCATAGTGTAAGTCATATGCGTGGCACAGATACACAGAGATTAGAACACACGAAACATTCCTAAATTAACTGTTGGCACGCTCCTCACCGCGGTCTTGCAATGAGCCAGTCAAGCCGATCGAGACGACATGGCAATGTGACTATGTGTGGCCACTACTAGTAGTAGTAATGATCCTCCAGGGTTAATCGTACTGCTAAGACAACGTCTCGATCAGCTTGAGTGGCTCATAGTCATAGGCTGATCTGAGTGAAGAACAATCATGGCGACGGCCCTCAGCTGCAGCTCTCTGTGTTTATTCCTATGTTGCTAGGGGAACCAGTATCACATTGTCGTGAGAGTACAGCATTTTCCGGAGTATAAGCCGCACCTTCAACAGGCGCGTGCTCGGCGATGGGCACGGGGGGCACGTGCACCCCCCAAAAATTTTCAATCTGGGTAATTGCTATTGTAATGTATGCAAATATGCTTTAAAATTCAAGAAAGGTTGCAAAAAAATGGCAGAAAATTGCCGGGGGGGGGGGGGGCTCCCCTCGGCTCCCGTGCACCCCCCTAGTTGGGGGGCCGAGCACGCCCCTGTTCAACACTCAAAATTCATCCAAAACAAAGGGTGGTGCAGCTCATACTCCGATGATTAACGGTGATAAATAGGATAGATCATGTCTGTATTCCGCGGTGAAAAAATGGGGGTTGCAGCTTATACTCCAGTGCGGCTTATACTCCAGCGTGGCTTATACTCCAGTGTGGCTTATACTCCAGCGTGGCTTATACTCCAGCGTGGCTTACACTCCAGCGTGGCTTACACTCCAGTGTGGCTTATACTCCAGTGTGGCTTATACTCCAGTGTAGCTTATACTCCAGTGTGGCTTATACTCCAGTGTGGCTTATACTCCAGTGTGGCTTATACTCCAGTGTGGCTTATACTCCAGTGTGGCTTATACTCCAGTGTGGCTTATACTCCAGTGTGGCTTATACTCCAGTGTGGCTTATACTCCAGTGTGGCTTATACTCCAGCGTGGCTTATACTCCAGTGTGGCTTATACTCCAGTGTGGCTTATACTCCAGTGTGGCTTATACTCCAGTGTGGCTTATACTCCAGTGTGGCTTATACTCCAGTGTAGCTTATACTCCAGTGCGGCTTATACTCCAGTGTGACTTATACTCCAGCGTGGCTCATACTCCTGAAAACACGGTGCGTTTATTCCAGGACTATGACTGATAACTCACATCACATGTCGTGTTGACCTACTCCAGTATTGATATTAATTTAATGTCACAAGAGCGTTTCGGCATAACATCCATGCCGAGGAGAACGCGTAAGCACACAACTTGGAATTAACACATCATTGATCCAACCTTCTTATTGTGGATGTTATTATTCACTTTTCAACCCATGTATAATTATGTAATTTATTATCTATACCAGACCTTCGCGTAAGAAAAATCCAGGAGAGTGAACAATCGCTCTCGCTATCCTCTCAAGGAGAGTGGTGGGAGAGCAGTCCCCCCTCCCTCCCCCAAAATCGCTCGCCTTATCAAAGGCGAACACAATACGGATTTTTTCATCATCTTGCCATACCCCAATCGTTAATCGGATTCAATACCCAATAGCTGCCAAATAAAAATCGCCGTACGCACTACAAATGGAAGCTGTTTGGACCACAACTTTAGTTTCCCTTCCTCAATTTCGACAATCTCACGCATTCTGGGAAGCTATTGGCAAGAGGAACACACCTATATATAGGATTTGAAAATGTGTGCCTTTTATGCCGTTGTTATTGGTCATCACGACCAATAATAACGGCATAATGGTTTTCATGGAAGTTGTAAAATATGTTTGAGGCATGAATGTTTACATTTTAGATTCATAGGGCGATAATATTTCTGATGAATACCCATTTTCAGCAATAATTGGAAATTTGAGCATAATTGTTCAGCTGCTGTCATGGAAAGGACTGAAGCAGTGAATGTGCAGAAGAACATTGCAGGTGTGGCACGGGGTGGTTTCTTGACGACATATCGCACATGCCGTCACGAAACTACCAGTTTTAAGGATAAAACAAGATCCAATAAAATCTCAAATCCTATAATATCGGATTCGAAAAATAGGGCATAGGCCTTAGTAATATTGGGCAAGTAGATGAGCCTGAGATGTTAGTGTTTGAAAAAATTATCTTATTCAACTCTCGATATCTACTAAGACCTAGCAAGGAAGAATTGGTCACATACTTTTTGCTATTCTCATGCCACACCCATTTTGAGTTGAAAATATGACCAAAATCCTGTATATAGGATTTAGCAAATTAAGAGATAGCCCTGGGAAGACATGCACAACGGGAAATTGAGACAATTAATTTTGCTAAGATCTATGGTATTTTTGTACGAGTAGTATTCATCGCAGAGCGCTCCTTTCTTTTGTAGCTGACCGCTAAACTAAAGACCTGTGCCAGACGTCGAACAGGTCTATGCATGCCTGGACTATCACGCAACAGAGGGAAATCCTTTATGTCGAAATTATGATTGCAACGGGACGTAAAATACCTTGCGAGTCCCGTAACTGCACTATTTGACCTCTGATCGACTTCGGATTTGTTGGAGCCGACAGCTGAGAACATTCTAATGCCAATAGCCCTTTCCATTACTCAATTCCGTTCAGGGAAAGCCGAGTTACGAAATATTTGAGTGTTTGCAGAATGCACTTCATAGTGATGCAGATGCGCTCGAAATTCTCAAGGCGCGCGACGAAAAGTGCGCCCAAAATGAAAATAAGGAGAGCGAAGGCGCGCGAGAGCGATCGCTCTCCTTTTACCAGATGCTCTGTATAGAGTTTAACGCCGGCTCTATGACGACGGCTGCAATGGCCAACCGGACAACAAAGAAGTTGAGGCCAAAGAGAAAGATGTTTTTTCTTGCGCATGCTTTACGTATGGTGTGGCGTAATGGTCAGAGTCAGGTTGCTATATATGCACATGTACACTGCCACACACACACCCATGGACACACACACCCATGCACCCATGGACACACCCACCCATGCACCCATGGACACACCCACCCATGCACCCATGGACACACCCACCCATGCACCTATGCACCCATGGACACACACACCCATGGACACACACACCCATGCACCCATGGACACACCCACCCATGGACACACACACCCATGCACCCATGGACACACCCAACCATGGACACACATACCCATGGACACACACACCCATGGACCCACCGATGCACCCATGGACACACCCATCCATACATGCACATACGCGAGCGTACGCACGCACACACACACATACATGCATGCACATCCATACACACCCGCCCACAAACACACACAAACAACTTACCTTCAAATCGAAGTATAAGTTAAGACCGAACACCTCTTTCAACGCAGGCTCTACAAGCGTCAATATCATGTTGGCTTGCGTAGCGCCACATACACCCGTTGTGTTGGCGACGAACATGGAGCTTCCCTACACACACACACACACGCCCATCGCGGAAGCGATGATAGCGAACCGCTATGTTAGACATAGCAACTTGAGCTGGGATTGCACCATTCAACAGCTTGCAAGCTTGCAAGGTTGATGAATTGCCCGCCACTAATTTTAGCCTGGTATCCACCACACATCTGATTGAAGTGGCTTTTTCTACGAATAAACTAACGTTATCGGTACGTAAGTTTTGCAGCTCTCACCGCGGCACTGAGAAGGGACTTTCCCTTTTTCCCAGGACGCATGCAGCCTGAGCACTTTTTTTACTGCCGGAAAAGTTTTACTGCCGCAGCAGCCGCGGCAGTAAAACTTTTCCGCCAGTAAAGTGCCAGTAACGCCACGTGATCAAATACCTTGGAAACTTTCCCAATCGGTCACTTTTTATCGGTAGTCTGAACGCGCCCTTACTACTGGACTAGTTCCCATATCACATTGTCCGTACAACTCGGTCAATGCACTTAGATCGGGTGAGGGCAGTCTATTTCCGCAGCTGGCTCATTTCAATCACTACCGATCACAGCTCCTGCTCATGGCGGACTGACCAGTCTCTCGTTCATACTCTTTGGCACCGGGTCACAGCTCTTGTGTAGAGTAGAGCAGGACAATCCCCCCCCCCCCCCTTCACACACATCCACATACTACGCCCCCACACATATTATGTGTGCTCGGGTCACAGCCCCTGCGCAGAGCAGACTGACCTGTGTCTCTGTTACACATAAGTCACAGCTCCTGACTAGCTACAGACTGACCTGCGTATGCCAGCTGCCCCACCCGATATCCTTGCTATACCAACCACACAACAACTAGCGTTAATTCGTTAAATCGTTAGACTTTTACAATGTTTGTTAGCTTGATACACAAGAACTGACGCTTTGATCAAAGTCACAGAGTTGATATATGCAGAGGAAGCACATCTTCAAAGCATGCACTCACCGTAGAGTGCCTTGTGAGCCGAATATCGGCTTGCATGATGATGCAATCAGCGCCGCTATTAGAACGCACCGAGTAGCGCTGTACTGGGGAAGGGGCAGGATCACTGCTGCACTGCGTCACTACAATATTAGATACACAACAGTAGATACGCGCACGCACACACACGCACGCACGCACACACACACACACACACACACACACACACACACACACACACACACACACACAAACATATGTATATATAATATATTATAGAACAATAGAAGTATGTCTTGCGTCGGCAAAAAAGTGCTCAATGTCCTAAGACAGAGCGGGGTTATACACTCAGACACAAAGGATCTCCAAGTTTCTCAGTGTTGCTACTCTGAGTTTCGTGCAAAAGCACTCTTCAGGCAACTTACTCTTCTCTCACATCAGTATCCCTTTACATACCAGAAAAGACGAAAAGAAGCACCCTAGGTGGGAATCACAGGTGGAGAAAGAAGCACGCTAGCCAGTCTAGGTGGGGATCACAGGTGAAGATAAATGTGGCAAGCGTGGTGGTGTGAGCAATCGCGCAGGCCGGGTGGTGTGCATAAAGTGAAGTGTGGCAGTAGGATGCATGCACATTAGATAGCAGGAGTTCTGTATATGTGTAACAGATAGCAAGCGCAGTCTACAGTTCAGGTCACCTCCGATAGGAGGTACTTGGTGCTGTGGCGACATTTTGTGACCAGGCTGCATCTGGTGTTGAGGAGCGATGCCTTGTCACTCTTCAATATGGCGATCTTCTCCGATAGGCATAGGTTGCACCGCTTCGAGGTTCTTTTGTAGGCGCTGGATCTCTGCCTGATTCTCCACGAGATGTTGACGCCTTCACCTGCCTCCTTCAATGCCCATGCATGCTTTGACGATTCTGTGCTGTTTCTGTGTGGGGCATTCCGGAACGATGACGTGTGGTTGTTGAACCGGAGTTTGAACGGGGTTTCGGAGATGCTGATATACTTTTTCCGGCTGAGATTTGAGTCCACTGTAGCTTCGTATACTATCTCGCTGGCGAAGCTTTTAGAAGTTTTAGTATTATGAAACTGACAACCTTGTTGTTGTGTGTATATATATATATATTAACTGGTTTGAGGGAAAGAGACAAACGGGAAAGGTCTGAAGAAAAAATTGACTGTCACCACCAGGACTCGAACCAGGGACCCTCGCTTGTAGCCAGCGATGCTCTAACCACTGAGCTATGGTGTAGTCGTCATATATATATACTCAGTAAGACTATGCCTGCAGCTGCAGAAAAAGTGCTCAACATCCAATTTCTTGGGGGGAGCAATGACACATGTCAACAAACAATGGATCACTCGTAATAGTTCGCTACTCCGAGTTTCATGCACCGTGTGCAATCATCAGGCAAACAATATTCAATGCAGACTGGTCAAAGCATAATGGGAATTTAAGGTGGATGCAGGCGGAAACACGTGATAAAGTTGTCAGTCCGGTTGCAGCTTGAACAGCCGTAGCACCTTGATGTGCTTCTTTTGTCGACACAGTTCTGGCCTCAAACTGCGAATGTACAGCGCCTCCAGTGTGAATCGGTGCGCGCTGTTCCGGGCTGGTGTGATGACACTGAAGCTGCTGTTTCGTTCCTGCGGGATGCATTCAGGTTGCGCTTGCAAATGCTTTGTGATGGCGCTATCACTTGTTGCCACACGTTTGTCAGGCGGCTTCTTGTACAGCTTGTCTGGGATATGCTGCTTGATCCTTTCCGAGAATCGCTTTATCACGTGTTTGTTCTGGTACTGCATTCCCTTCATGTGTTTTTCCCGTCATTTTTCCACTGCTCCATACATTCTTATGGTAGTGTAGTGTGAACTTGAGGCGCGTAAGAATATTCTTGCTGATTCTCTACCCCCAGTATAAATTCTGGCTCCGTTTTCGTTCTTGCTCATTCCCATGTAACTACTGATGAAAATGGGTGAAAAGCTTTTAGTACTATGAAATTGACAACCTTGTTGTTGTGTGTATATATATATATATATACTCAATCTGCGGACAGAACTGTTTCGTCCTTTGTGGACTCGTCAGCGCAGCACAGAGGAAATGAGGCCGAACCTGATAGCAATGGAAATAAAAATTAAATTAAATTAAATTAAATTTATATATATATATCAGTAGGGGTGATCCCGTCCGACGCGAATAGTGCTCAATAGTACTAGAGCCAATACAAACTTCACGATCAGGTCCTCACCAGAGATACATTATCGTTCTTTGCAACTCTGAGTTTCATGAAATGAATCAATCATCAGGCAATAGAAACAAACTGATACAGGGCAACTAGGTCACTATAGGTTATATACCCAGTCACACAGCAAGCACGAAAGAAGGCACTAAGTACGAGGTGAGAACATTTCGCGGCACTTGCGGGGGTGACTTCTGAATGGGGAAGCCAAAGGTCTCGGTGCCTTGCGACTTGTCCTTGCCATTCAGGAAGAAATGGGCCTTCGAGCGCATGCGGCGGATGACGCTCTCGACCTTCTCCACTAGGCACTTTCGGTATGCGCTTGCTGAGGGGATGGGTACGTTGCCGAGCGAATACCCTAAATCCGTCTTTCTCGGTGGGTCCATAGTTGCGATGTATGGGAGAAAGTGCTCTATCTCGAGAGAGAGCTTCCAATATATCAGTAGGGGTGATCCCGTCCGACGCGAATAGTGCTCAATAGTACTAGAGCCAATACACACTGCACGATCAGGTCCTCACCAGAGATACATCATCGTTCTTTGCAACTCTGAGTTTCATGAAATGAATCAATCATCAGGCAATAGAAACAAACTGATACAGGGCAACTAGATCACTACAGGTTATATACCCAGTCACACGAAAGACGGATTTAGGGTATTCGCTCGGCAACATACCCATCCTCTCCACAAGCGCATACCGAAAGTGCCTAGTGGAGAAGGTCGAGAGCGTCATCCGCCGCATGCGCTGGAAGGCCCATTTCTTCCTGAATGGCAAGGACAAGGCGCAAGGTTTTGGCCAAATATTGCATAGTCCGTACGCATTTCACCTTGTGTTGCGTATATGGTGACATAAATGGTTGTACCGCGCGAAATAAAAGCTATTCTCGTGGCAACAGCGTACTAACAATAGCATGCATCTTGCTAAAGGTCGAACCAAAATCACGGTATTTCCCCCCTTACGGTAATACAGTTACAACATAACGTTTTTTGCTAATGATGTCTAATATTTCAATCACTCCAGAATACTCTTCAAGATTGAAAACGATGAGTGACTCATCAAAAATTCAAAATACAACTATGTTTTGCTCTCTGAGTGCATCAGAGATATCATCTGTTAGTTGGAACCACTCTCCGCTGATTCCGCGATCACGGATTTGTGGAGAGGAATTGTCGCAGTCGTTGAACGAACGAAAGTAGGGCTACAGAGAGATCAGCTAAAGTGAGCACTTCGGCTGTGATCACTCTACAACTCTCTATGTTACCCCCTTTACGCTGAGGACGAGCCCCGATGTTGAGGGTAACATTGGAAAGAAGTGAACAAAGGGGAAACAGACGTTTAGCAGGAGACTAGACACATGCTTTATAATATGTGGTATCTATGGTTACACGTACCTTCTGGCGACAAAGTGCTATTTTCTATGCCCAACGCTTGGATACGCAAGTCACTGAAGGAAAAGAACAAAGTCCCGAATGCAGGAACCTTCAAGTTGACCCCGTAGACTGTGCACGCAAATGACTGGCCAACTGGAGCAGAGACTCCGAAGATGTCAAAATCCAGAGGGGGACCGCCTGGTAATGGGAAAACCGCTTGAGTCATGGCCCACGACTTCTCCTGGTCCTGTGGAGTGGGGCACAGTGCAGAACATGCATGCATGTGCACGCACACACACATACACACGTACACATACACACACACACGCAAAAAGACATACATAGTCATTGCTTTGCACTGGGCATGTGGCATTCCCCAGGGACAGGGGAGATAGGCTCAGAACAAGTCTCGGAAGTATGACTGAATTCAGTCGATTGGCTATTGAGCTGTCCGACGGCCGCTATTCTATACATAACCCCAGATCCCTGTGGGTGGACTTGAAACATGTGACCCCACTTTAAAACACATCACAGTTACTCGGCTAAGGCCCCTCAGAACACAAGGTGCAGCCGGGATTGACAATATCGCAGTATACGTCTCAGGGTCCAACTGCATTCTAACCCAACCCAAGTGAAGGTAATAGCGTGTACCGGTGTGCTTGCTAATTCAGAGTGAATCTGATGACAGCTTGCCCAATCTAGCCACAAGTAGCCTATTGATGATTGCAGTGTAACTGAGAGAAAGAGAGAAAGAGAGAGAGAGAGAGAGAGAGAGAGAGAGAGAGAGAGAGAGAGAGAGAGAGAGAGAGAGAGAGAGAGAGAGCAGGTCTGCTCTACAGCACTTTCTTTAGTTGATTGTTTTCTTTTCTATCAATTAATCTTTGGCTCTCCATCCGAGTCCATAATAGGGCAGGCTGACAGCGGTAGAACGTCAGTACCGTCGGTCAGTGTCGTGCATGAGCTGATTGTTTGGTAACTGTGGTGTTAGTGGACATTATAGTGTTACTTGTAGTTCCTTCGGTCCTTTTCCTTTTCCATGATAGAGAAGGCTGACAGTTTGCTTTTAATCACTTATTCTTTCCCTTCCCCAAGGTATGTACGCATTGACCGCGCCATACCTTGGGGAAATGGAGTAATTTCGGACAAAAATCTGACACTGTTTACTAACGATTATAATCGAGTACTAGTGGACCGATGGTCAAACTAAAAAGTAATCGATAGGCGAAAATCTGCAATCAGTTCAGCCCTAATAAATTTTAGTAATAATTACACACAGTTCTTGTTCGCTGGCCAAAGCGAAAGAAACGAGAAATTTAGTTCTCTGCAATATTTCTAGCACGTCCCAGTAGGTGGGTATGAGGACATTGGCCACTGCTACAAGTTATGGTGGAATGTGGGCGGGCAGATTACTGCTTTTCGTTTTGCTGGGCGCGCGTGTGCGCGTGTGTGTGTGTGTGTGTGTGTGTGTGTGTGTGTGTGTCTGGCGGACTGACCGTCCACAAATGCCTGGATATGCCCCCATCTGCTACTCCAGTGCACGGCCAGGCCACCGCTTCTGGACCATCGTGTGACACCCGCCAGCGGCTCGCCCTGCCTTGCTGCAGAGCCCACTGCAGCAAATGCGATTGTTGTTGCAAGTCAACCCAACTCTCCATGTCTGTCGGCCCCTTACATGAGGGGACATGTAACCGGAAACGGCAATGTTCAGGACAGGACAGGACAGGACAGGACAGTGTGTGTGTGTGTGTGTGTGTGTGTGTGTGTGTGTGTGTGTGTGTGTGTGTGAGAGAGAGAGAGAGAGAGAGAGAGAGAGAGAGAGAGAGAGAGAGAGAGAGAGAGAGAGAGAGAGAGAGAGAGAGAGAGAGAGAGAGAGAGAGAGAGAGAGAGAGAGACAGAGAGAGAGAGAGAGACAGAGAATCAGGAGGCAGAGAAGGTGGGTGCCAGCCTTGTGACTTTTACAATCACCCTCTGCATTGCACTTCTACGTACATCCAGTGAGAAGGATAGAGATAGACTAAATAGTGCATCTGAAAAGGACGGGTCTTCATCGTCATCGTCGGTATGAATAGTGAAGTGGATGACACTGCTGGTCTTGGAACATGAACCGTTTACAGTGATCTTAGTGATGTTCATGGGCACCTGATGCCAGAAAAACAGACATGTACGGAAAAGCATGTGAACACATGCACACACAGACACGCACGCACACACACGCGTGCGCGCGCACACACAAACATATATGCACAAATGATCTCTGAACATGGAAAGTAACATTAACTCGTCGTCTGTGTTACCAGTGGTTATACAATTGTGTAATCTACAAGTGAATCTATTCCCACAGTCACAGTCCAGAGTTTGGAAAAGCAGTGTTTGAACACAGGCCTCTCTCTCTCTCACGCTCATTTACTCACTCACTCTCACTATCACTATCACTCCCTCTCTCACTCTCACTATCACTCCCTCTCTCACTCTCACTATCACTCCCTCTCTCACTCTCACTCTCTCTCACTCACTCACTCTGTCTGTCTCTCTCTTTCTGTCTCTGTCCCTCTCTGTCTGTGTCCATGTCATAATATCTATGTCTGTCTGTCTGCCTGTCTGTCTGTCTGTCTGTCTGCCTCTGTTTGTCTGTCTGCCTCTGTGTGTCTGTCTGTCTGCCTCTGTCTGTCTGTCTGTCTATGTCTCACTCTCTGTGTCTCCCTGTGTCCCTCTCCCTCTCTCTCTGTACCTCTGTCTCTTTCCGTTTGTCTCTGTCTGTCTCTGTGTCTCTCTCCTCTCTCTCTCTCTGTAGTACAGGAGTGACAGGCAGCTGAGCGCAATCTTTGCTGTAATATTGCTTGCGTGAAGCACTTTGTGGAGAAATGACAACTTGGCAATAAACATGTATGCACACCCACCCACACGCACACACACCCACACACCCACATGCACGCACACATGCACATGTGCACACACACACACCTTGAAACCTTGAAACTGCCACTTAAAGGTGATGCAGTGCCTCAAAGAGGCAAGGAGGACAGAGTTACTTCTTGCATTTGTGTTGAGCCAGGTACTGGAGACGTGTGAACTTCCGAGAGCAGGTCGGGCATGGGATGGTGCGGCGCTCGGAGCCAAAGCTGCATGTTCTGCGGTTGCAGTTGTGCCGGCGGTTCCCCGCTTTGTTCCGGAAACAGCGGTCACAGGTGTGGCAGTGGTACTGACATTGGCTGCAATCAGGTGGGCGAGGTGCAACTATCTCTGGAACTGAAGTGTCACCAAGGCTGGGAGAGCAGCGGTGCACAGCAAATCCACCTCGGCTAGCAAACCAACGATGGCACGTTTCTCACAACACAGCACCGGACTATTCATGGATCGGCTTCAGTCGCTCTTCCCTGCATTTGTGCCGACAAAGTCCGCTTTCACTGGCGAAGAGAAGCTCACAGATCGCACAACATACTAACTTGGCTGTCGTTTCAAGGCGTAAGCGCCGTGCAACAATGGCATCCGAGATGGGCTGGATCCACTCGCCACGTTCAGCTGCGAGGTCGTAACAAGCGGTGTATAGACCGAACGCCATGAGGTCATCGCGTACCACATCACGCCATCGACGCCTGGGGCCATGAGCAGGGCACACACACACACACACACACACACACACACACACACACACACACACACACACACACACACACACACACACACACACCTGGTCCTGGTGTACACTGCCATGTAGGTCACGTGTTTCTCGTTGAGCGAGACGGAGACGAGAGGAGACATGAGCGTTGGTGACGGGATAGGTCGTTTCGCCTTTTGAAACGCCTCTGCCAATTCTGACATTGCAATTGGAACTTGTCCCTTTCATCAGCAGTTGGGCGCTTGGTGGATCGGTTGCAGTTGTGGATAGCAAAGCCCCGGATCGACTTACAGCAACGTTCACAAATGGGACAGTGAGCGGTACAGCACGGCTTCCGAATACATAGGCGTACAGGTGAAGAGCTTGTGGCATTGGCAACATTCGGGGCAGAACTGGACTGGGCACAGTGGCAACATTCGGGGCAGAACTGGACTGGGCACAGCGATGGAATGCACTGCCACCCGCACTCCGAAACCATCGGTGACACTGGGAGCACTGGCAGCTGTTGGCTTGCTGCTGGACTGGCTTACGCCGTTCCATGATGCACTTGTGGCGGGTGATATCTTGCTGCCGAGCAAATGCACGCCGGCACACCTCGCAGACTATCTCCCGGGCCGGTTTCTGAGCTGGTTGTATTGCTCGATAATCTTGCTGCCACTCAGATCGTTCCTGCGCTGTGTCAAACCATGACTCGTCGGCGATGTTTTTTCGTCGCAGGTCGACCCTAATTGCGTCTCGCCATCGTTTCCGCGGGCCACACGCTGGGCGTGGCGGCAGCAATGTGCCAAACAACAACATCCGCGGCATCCGCTCCTCAGGCACGCGTACCACGTGCCCAAGCCATTCCAGTCTTCTCTGCATGAGGCGGTCAGGGATATCCAGTGGATTTGCTGCATTCCATGTTTTCAGGATGGTGTCCTTGGCTATCTTCAAGTCCCGCACATCCCACTGTGCAACACTCATGATGGAAAGAAGCGACCGGTAGTAGAAGGACGTAATCCGTTGCACACACACACACACACACACACACACACACACACACACACACACACACACACACACACACACACACACACACACTACTACTACTACTACTACTACTATGTACAGCTACCCTATCGGGCCACGCCGCTCCCAGAAGCGGGAGACAACGACAAGAAGAGAGAAGAGAAGAGAGAGAAATCGCAAAGTCAACAATATTTGGCATGGCGTTGCAAGTCCTGTGGCCTTGAGAACCGTCTTTCGCAATGCTCGCATTCATGACGGCAGTTGTTCCTGGCTGCACGTGACATCCGTTTCGCACGGTCACAGTGATGACGGCTCAAACCAGAACGAGAGCGGAAAGAGCGGCGACAAACATCACATCGCAAAGAGTCAGATTCATGGCGAATGGATACAGTGGGGACATCCGTGGACACAGGACAGCGATGCACAGCCAGTCCTCCAGCGCTCCTCAACCACCGCATGCACTTCATACATTGCCTGGCACCCTTCTGTTGTGACACAGGCAACTTCCGCTGGGCAATGCACTTGTGTCGGGCCATGTCGTTACGGCGGCGGAAGTCTCTGGCACACAGCAAGCAGCGCAAAGGTGGCGAATCACACACACACACACACACACACACACACACACACACACACACACACCTCAGACATGCCCATCGCGGAAGCAATGATAGCGAACAGCTACGTTAGACATAGCAACTTGTGCTGGGATTACACCATTCAACAGCTTGCAAGGCTGATGAATTGACCGCCACTAATTTTAGCCTGGTATCCACCACACAGCTGATTGAAGTGGCTTTTTCTGGCCACACACACACACACACACACGCGCGCGCGCGCGCGCGCCACACACACACACACACTCTGCCTGCTGCACTCGCGTGCCTTACCTTCGGAAAGTTCACTCTTTGAGCAATCACAGCTAAAGCGGCCTGAAATATAATACACGCAGATCCATTGGACTCGACCACATAGCGATGGACAGCTTTGGGGTTGCTAGTTGCCAGGTCCACAGTGTCAACACCTACACCAGCAGAACTGCTGAAAGCTGTACAAGTGAAAACAGAGAAACGAAATAGCCAGGAGCGGCATGGTTGGAATAAAACCCCAAGCAAAGGGCATGCACATGTCTAATAAAGCAGGTTTGCATTAGGTACACTGTCTATGGCAATACATGTACCCCACTAACATGCATGCACTCCCTATTACAGACCAGTGGAGAAAACACATCATATCGGGAGGATTCATGGAGTGCTGGGCAACCGAATCTGGCATGTGATAATCATGTAGGATAGTCCACGCAAGAGGTGCAGCCCATGAAATGGGCACCCATGAACTGGGCGGTGTGTGGACGGCCCGTATGATAGTATCAAGAGTCCATAACCCCCAGAGTGTGAAGCGCGCGCGATAGGGTCTTGTCACGACTCATTTTCAACATGATGTCATTTTCATGTACATTTTCAGGTAGCGAATGTCGCGGCCTGCACGCGCAGCTACATGAAAATGACGTAATGTTGAAAACGAGTCGTGACAGACATTATGTGACGTTGCACACTCTGGGGGTTATGGACTCTTGATAGTATGTATGTATGTCCACGCACAAAGTGCAGCTCATGAGATGGGCGCCCATGAAATAGACGGAGTGTGGACGGCCCACGCACGAAGTGCAATACCCGCTAGGAGGCACGAGTGTAGGAGTATGAGTGTGATGGCCGAAGGCCGTGGTAGATTGCCAGATGAGAGGAGATAGATGGCCCAGCACTCCTATTTATTTTCGTCTTTTATAAATATATGATGATACCTCTGTTGAATCAAGGATATCAATATTATTCATAGATGGGGAGAGGTGGGTGGGTGAGAAAGGAACACACCGGTGTTCTTCTCATGACCCAAGCAAAGCAAATACGAAGTAGCACAGTGGCCAGCGCGAAGTATGGTGTATGCATTACGGGTTCAAACTCCGATGTGTGCTGCAGTCGCATATGGCTGGTTGGCTGGCGAGTTCAGGTGAGTTCCAGCGTACGCATGTTACATGCCACAGCAGCGTGCATGTACGTGTTGCTTGACATGCATCAATGAATAGCGTGGGATCTGTGGGCTCTTTGAAGGCCGATGGAGCGCGTGTGAAGTGGTGGCTAGTGCAATGTGTTAACCTACATTACCACAAGCTCTAATGTGCTATTTTGCGATATTTCCCGGCGCCCTTTTTTTACCGAATAAATCGTTGGATGACGCCATAAGCCCCGAAACCTAGCGTCTGGCTTTCTGATCGTGATTTCTCTACGTGAATGTAGAGCAGAACAGATTTTCTTTACGTTACGGGAACGCGAAGAGAGTTGCCGGGATTCTTCGCATCGCGTTCCCGTAACGTAGAGCAGAACCTCGCTAGTGTAACAGTGTTGCAGTGTTACAGTGTTGCAGTGTTGCAGTGTTACAGTTGCCCAGCCGTGTTGTCTACCTACATGTAGATAGTGACTCCACTCCCCTGATGAACATGTACTGTAGCATGCACGTAACCGTCGTTGGTATTATGAAAGCTGTCACGATGGAAAACAGCGTACTGTACTGTGTTCCTGGCTGCAACCAGAAACCGGTTGGTAATTCCCCAACAGGCAACAACTGGTCCATCTACAAGAAAAAAGAGTCCCGCGCCAGGCCAGTGCCAGCAAGAGTACATGACCGGATGACGGGGCCCCATTCCCACAGCTTGGTGCTGGCGAGAACTTCGAAAGAACTCGAAATTTCGACACACGACTGCCAGTAGTGTACTGTGTGTCATCGAACTTCGAAGCGTCGAGAACACCTTGTCCGAATATCGACTGTCGACCGCCAACAGCCACTGCAGTATACCACAAGTACTGGAACAATGCCATCGTACCCCTAGTCGTACGTCCTGCAAAAGCACGCGACCGTGAGTACGACCGTGGAAACAGGTCAATGACCTTTGTAGGAAGGATACCTTTTTTAGTTTTACTACGATCCGGTAAGTATCCTTCTACAATTCGAAGTTTACAGAATAAAACCAGGAAACCAGGAAATGTTCCACAGCTACAGCAGCACAGTGGCTTACCTTGCGGCAACAAAGCCGTACAAACGGTGAAGAAAAGAAGCAGCCGAGTCAACATGCTGTCTCTCCTGGATGATGAGGAAGAAAATTAATTACGAACGAATCAGGTACCGGTAAGTTTCCCTGGCCAAATTTAAACTATAAAGGAACTACCCTGCACAAACAGTCTCGGCACACACCTGCTGACTACTGCCCTACACGTAGACCTTGTCGACCCGGCTGTCGCCGAAGAAGAAAATGAACAAGACCTTGCTAGATGGGCTGAGATCATTTCCGGCAAGAGATGCTATGCATGCAGCTGATCAGCTGATATGCATGTAATGATGTCATATCTCATGACACTCGTACTCGTACTCGTACTCGATCACGCGCGTGAACACTGCAATCCCCTATGGAATCCTCTTCATGTTTCTGAAGTTTTTTTGTCCAAAAAGCAAGCCATAACAAGAATAGAATTTCGGCCAGGTTTTGCCCCAACAGCACTGAATTGGGAAAAACCATAAAAATCCAGGCCGTTTGACCCCGCCTGCAAACGTGCATTGTGCGGTTCGAACCCCAGTTCAGGTACCCTTTTTGGACCCTTTTTCAAATTTCAAATTTCGCAGCACTGCACTGTGTACGATGAAATCACGAAAAATCGCCAAATACGGGAGCTCGCCAGAGCCAGAGCCCATCTTTTTATGAATGGACTGTAATTATGCGCGCGCGCGCATATGCGCATACATGCATGCACCTGATTGAGACGTCACCATGGTCACTCAGTGATCATTTTGTTTTTTATAATTTTTCCAGGAAGCCTGCATAGAGCTAAAGTACATGTAGTGTAGCTTGTTACAAAATACAAGCTGTAGAGACCACCGGCCGGCTAAAACTGGTCTCGCTTTTAGTTTGACAGCATACCGCGTACAACTACAAGGCGGTGGAACACCATCACGGTTCGGAAACAGTGCCCCTTTCTACAACCATCCACGGCTGGCAGAGCCTGGCTTGCACCCATCTGGACGCGACGGTACAAGGACAAGAAGACTTGAACAACCCCCCCCCCCCCCCACAGCAGTGCCAGTAGTCACAGTGTAGTCATGATCACACTCCCATAGTATACTGTGAGTTTCAGAACCGGGTCTAGCACCCATACGGTTCAGATGGTTGCAAGACCAGGGCTCTTCCAACCGTGCATGGTTCTAGTCAGGGGCACTCTTTCCGAACGCGGTGTTCCACCGCCTTGTAATTAAATAGGCCGCAGGCTGCCAAACTAAAAACACATTACTTGTAGTACCAAGAGTATATTCCGTCTTTCTTGGTAGTACGTGTTGGGTCTAGCTGCAGGTTTCCTGATGTTAAAAGAAAAATCAAGAAAAGAACAAACCGTTCAGTCAAGCTACAGGAGTACATTGCATGTGTAGTCCGGCAGTCTCGTGGTAGCAGGCGTAGGTGACCTGAATCCGGGCGACCTCTCGTTGTGTGTGTCCCGGATGCCGTGGGACGACATTCTCCTATTCTCTCTCCGGGGCCCACGTGACCCTTGTTTCAGTGGCTCGACAGGACAGGTGTAATCAAGAGTACAGTCATGGGTTTCATGTACGCTTGGTGTAGTAATTGAATTGAATGCTGTTGATTGCTCACCGCGTTCTGCAATATTCCGTGGAAATCCACAGGGGACAGACTGTACGTATTGTCCTTGAGATCAGCCTGATAAGATGGCCTCGCTTTTAGCCATACTTTTCTCATGCACTGTTGAGGGTCGTTATACATACGGTACCAGTATTTGCAAGGCTGACGTCACATTTATATTGATGGACACTTCTTACTGCTCAGCAGCATGCATAGAAGCAAGAGTACATTTATATACTCTTGATAGAAGCAATCACGAGTCCATAACCCCCAAGAGAGTGCAACTGGGGTCTGGCTGCTTTAAGCTGTACTGAGGCCCACTGTGCAGCAGAATTCCAACGCTACGTCATGCCGCTGAGGCACACAGGACAAAACTCCCCCTCATTAGGTACATTATTATTATTATGAAATGACCCAAAGGCAATTGAACAATCTGGCTGTAGTTTTGAGCAGGAAGGGAATAATAAAGCCCCAGGCTCTTATTTAAAAGGGTTGAGGGAAGAATAATTCCAAGCCGCCGCAGACACAAAAACCGGCAATAAATGAGCTGGTGCCATGGCCCTTAGCCTGCCCGTAGTGTTTTTATCAGACGAGAAGAAAAAGAAGAGCACAGTGTACCGCACACAGTTCACAGACTGCTTTCTACACTGCACTTTATCAGTTTAGGGAACTACGCAATCGATTAACCGGGCTTTATTGTTTGGATTCCTGATAGACAAGCTCTACCCAGAGGAATCAGGAGTGTGTGTGTGCTCAAGCATGTACGGCATGTCACCCTGCAGGCATATCAGAGGTTTGAGAGGGACAGTACCAACAACGGGATTCCGCAAACCGCACCATGCCACATAGTCAACCCGCAAAGACACGCACACTACTTCATCTACTTTATTCAGATCTACAAAAGGCAGGAAACGCGTGTAAAGCCTGAACATTGCACCACCTTGCATGGGTTTGCATCGATGGAGTGATGGGCATGCTACAGCAACCAGGCTATGACATGGTCGAGATCAAGCGAATACGTTGCATGTCACCAGCACCATAACAAGCATTGATAAATCTTGCAATCGATCATCCTGTTCTGAATCCAGGAATGCCACCATCAGCGAACGCTGCCTCAAAACAACCGTACGGCATACAGAGCTGGCATAGAAAATGACAACATAAAAAAACTGAGTAGGCAGCAATAACAGGAACGGGGAAGCTATCCCATGGGACCCTACGCAACACAAAAAAGATTGTGTAAATAAAAACGAGCATGAACTACGGACACACGGCGCCAGCAGGTGAAATCCCTTTTCACTCACAGCATGTGCCTAGACTGACTGGTAACCACGACGACTGGATCGAGATCGGCCGATAAGGTAGGCAACAAGGACACTGACGACCAGACCGCACAGAGCTGCGCCAACGGCAATAGGCACAATGTTGTTGGTATGAAGTTTGCCATTGCATTTCTCAACTGCAAAAAAACAGTACACATACAACGCATGACAAAATACAGTAAACATTTAATTCTTGCCACATTATGGTTGAAAATTGAAACCACGCTAGAAAAAGGACTTTGCGCAAGGGAACAACGGTGGTTTCAATCAAAAAAATTTCACATGAGACTCGGCCAGGCTATTTCCCACATTCATAGGAAATGCCAAGACCCCTCAAGGATGTGCAGTTCCTGAAGTTAACTTTGCACCACAAGAATACGATAAAGTCATTCATTAGAGACAACAAGCACATAATTTCCGTACTCCGGAACATCACTACTCGAAAACGAAGTATAAAAAATCCGTAGCGTTGCTACGGATTAAAGCACGGAAATCGTACGCCGGAACCTATGAACACATTTCTTGTGAGTTTCAGAGGGGCTGCACCTTACATTCGAAACACTACTGCTTTCCCTGCTCTTTGAGATGTGAGAAACCTACTACATGATGGTGTACATAAAAGTCAACACAATACTTGAAATCCAAATCCGCTTTTCGTCTTCTCTGCCGGGCTGCAAGTTAGCATAGCGCTGACTTCATTTTCAAGATACGTTTTGAATGTTGCACATTTACAAATCCATGTCATTATTTTAAAGGACCAGACACATAGTGCATGCATGATCTCTGACAAGGATAGCATACCGTGGGAAGAGAGCTTGTTGTCCTTGACGCCCATGGCCTGAACGACCATGTTATTGAAAGAAAGGACAATGGCGTCGTCGCCAGATTTCAGGGCAATTGTGGTGTTGGGACAGCTGTATGCGTGTCCAACCTCGGCAGAGATACCAGCGACCTCGGTTGTCAACTCGCTGTCAAAGTCGTTTACATCGTCGGTTTCATTAGCTGGGTAATAGAGAGATGCCTCACTCAGAGACCAGGTCTTGCCCTGCAGAATCAACCAGAAAAAAAGAGAAAAAATGTCACGGTTCGTGTGAGACCCGGCTGGAGACCGAGTTTTCGGCATCCGCAGGAACGTCACCACCCTCTAGCATCAAGGTGCAGATGCAGCTCCTAAGGGGTGAGTAGATCAGACCCACCACAAACTACAAAGTGGTCAAAGACCGTGAAATCCGATTCGCTGCATCTATCCATCCATACAGAAAGTTCGGGAAAAATGGCAGCACTAGCATCAACCAACGACCGGAACTGGCATGAACAGTGCATGGGCATGAACTACAGTCAACTTCGCGAATAACGACTGCGGATATAACAATTCGCGAATAACGACAGAATTTCCATGCCCAGAGCAAAGTTCCATCTAACTGTAATACATGTAACGAGACTTCGGGTATAACAACACTTTGCAAATATGGACACTTTTCTGATGCCCCTCCGGTTGTTGTTATACACAAAGTTGACTGTAGACTGATATGCAGTTTGTGATATTTACAATATGCGTGTGACCTGGACACCCAAAAAAGGTAGTGGTGGTCAGGAGTATACCAAACCGGTCAGTGCAAAACCAATACCCTCTGATTTGATGTAAACAGTCTCTTAACCACACGGCTCAGGTCAAACTCAACCATCCGTTCAGGGGGGGTACTTCCGGGCATCAGACCTAAAGCACTCCCATGCCCACCACCCCCCCCCCCCCCATTTCAACAAAGGACTTAAAATTGGATCGGCAATTCTTCTTGCTACAGTACAAAGAGGATGGATGCAGCGATTTTCAGAATGCATGGCCCCAAATACCCAGACACCGGGACTTCCCCTTCACTCACCTTCAGCGAAAATGACAACCTAAAATGTGCGAGGGTAAGATTGTCAGCATCAGCAGAAGAGCTGGTTAGCTGGATGTAGCTACTTGTCTTGCCACACTCGCCACTGGATGTCACATCGGTGATGTTGATTGGCATCTGTACAAAGGAACAAAAAACAACAGCAATGCACGCAATCATACATGCAGGAACAGTACACACTCCAATTCTGCCACATCAATTACCAAACTCGTCGGATCAAAATATACCCAGGCTTATATTTTATTTGTTCTTGAAGTTAGGCAACCGGGCGATTCTGCGGGGAGTGACCGTTATGTTTCAAGACAGGAATCCCTAACGCTAGCACATGAGCACTAAGCTACTTCTTCCGTTGTGTTCGCACAGAACGTGTCATCGGTGTCAGTATCTCTAGTTCCAAACGTGGCACGGCCATTGTACGCAAATAGAAGCACATAGGCGCTGTTCGAGAGACGGCTCTATCCGCGCAGAAACAGCCATCTGTACAAACTCCGCACTTTCAGCTCACCAGACAAGCCCCGCTGACAACCCGGCTGCAGGAATTTGGAAAGGAGATCAAAGTGTATGCATATCCACCCATCGTTCCCAATGCCTCTTTACAAAGTGCATAACTTACTCTGGTATTATTCGCACCCTCCGCGGTAACGTCAATGCGCGAAACCTCCATGATGATGCAAGCAGCTCCATCAGACTCCACAGTATAGCGTGCCTTTTCAGGAGCTGGCAAAGTCGTTGGAGCGGTAGCAGTGGGCTTGGTCGTGACTGCCTTGCCGGTAGTGGTGGGGGTATGTTTGGTAGTGGCAGCGTGCATGGTAGTTGCACCGTGTTTGGTAGTGGCAGTATGTTTGGTAGTGGCAGTGTGCGTGGTCGTTGGGGCGTGCGTGGTCGTTGGGGCGTGCGTGGTGGTAGCAGGCTTGGTCGAGGTGGTAGCAGGCTTGGTCGAGGTGGTAGCAGGCGTGGTCGAGGTGGTAGCAGGCTTGGTCGAGGTGGTAGCAGGCTTGGTCGAGGGGGTAGCAGGCTTGGTCGAGGGGGTAGGCTTGGTCTTGACGTCTACATCAGCAGAAATGATAGATGCTGCAGGAGTACAAGAATACAGAGAACAGAGAAACAAACATAATAGATGGTTATGAACAAAATTAAACTCATGCCAATGTCAAACAACAAAGTGGCCAAGGTTTTGTTCCAGAACGTTTTCAGAATTTCTTGTCACATTCTTCAATGGAATCTCGTGACGGAAAGAAAATGGATGACCAACAAAAAATGATAGATGGTGTTCTGCAATATCCAGTATTATCCACACATGTGAGTTGAATTATGCAACACAATGGTGGGAAAACATCCGTGGGTGTATCATCACCAGTTGATAAATGTGGCATTACCAAAAACAACTCAGTTGCAACTACACGAGTTACATGTAGTGTGGGCCAACAGCGTAGTGAAGTGCAGCAAAAGTAACAGGGTAAACATTTGCACCGTGCAGCGAGGCTACGAGCAGCAACACCACTAGAGGAGCAGATGGTCCGTGATCATCTCTCAAGGTCCTTTGCTAGGGTTTGCTGAGTCGGCCATGAGTACCGTATCTGTAGCTATTACTGCTAAACACCCCATTGCTGAATATTCTCATATTCCCGGAGACCAGTAAAATATATTTGTCAAACATATCCAGCATACTCGTTCTATGATAACTCGATCGTTAATAATAAACGGTACTGGATAAGAAGAAATGGATGATCGTTTCATCCCTAGTTTCATTCCATACCAGAATTCCAATTGAATCTCTAAAACTTTCATAACCACGGCAACTCGGCTCCAAGTTAGTTTGCACACACTACGTCGACCAGGACAGGTACCAATATGAACATGCACAATTGACCTTCGTGCATCACACTACCGGGTGACCCTATGCTTTGCGAATACTGTAAAAGCCATATATATATATATATATATATATATAGAACAATAGAAGTATTTCTTGCGTCGGCAAAAAAGTGCTCAATGTCCTAAGACACTCATATATAAATAGAGATGTAGGCGAACAAAATTTATATACACACAACAACAAGGTTGTCAATTTCATAATACTAAAAGCTTTTCACCCATTTTCATCAGTAGTTACATGGGAATGAGCAAGAACGAAAACGAAGCCAGAATTTATACTGGGGGTAGAGAATCAGCAAGAATATTCTTACGCGCCTCAAGTTCACACTACACTACCATAAGAATGTATAGAGCAGTGGAAAAATGCGGGAAACAACACATGAGGGGAATGCAGTACCAGAACAAACACGTGATAAAGTTGTGTGGCAACAAGTGATAGCGCCATCACAAAGCATTGGCAGGCGCAACCTGAATGCATCCCGCAGGAACGCAACAGCAGCTTCAGTGTGATCACACCAGCCCGGAACAGCGCGCACAGATTCACACTGGAGGCGCTGTACATTCGCAGTTTGAGGCCAGAGCTGTGTCGACAAAAGAAGCACATCAAGGTGCTACGGCTGTTCAAGCTGCAACCGGACTGACAACTTTATCACGTGTTTGTTCTGGTACTGCATTCCCCTCATGTGTTGTTTCCCGCATTTTTCCACTGCTCCATACATTCTTATGGTAGTGTAGTGTGAACTTGAGGCGCGTAAGAATATTCTTGCTGATTCTCTACCCCCAGTATAAATTCTGGCTTCGTTTTCGTTCTTGCTCATTCCCATGTAACTACTGATGAAAATGGGTGAAAAGCTTTTAGTATTATGAAATTGACAACCTTGTTGTTGTGTGTATATATATATATATATATACACACAACAACAAGGTTGTCAGTTTCATAACACTATATATACACACAACAACAAGGTTGTCAGTTTCATAACACTAAAAGCTTTTCACCCATTTTCATCAGTAGATACATGGGAATGAGCAAGAACGAAAACGAAGCCAGAATTTATACTGGGGGTAGAGAATCAGCAAGAATATTCTTACGCGCCTCAAGTTCACACTACACTACCATAAGAATGTATGGAGCAGTGGAAAAATGCGGGAAACAACACATGAGGGGAATGCAGTACCAGAACAAACACTTGAGGCGCGTAAGAATATTCTTGCTGATTCTCTACCCCCAGTATAAATTCTGGCTTCGTTTTCGTTCTTGCTCATTCCCATGTATCTACTGATGAAAATGGGTGAAAAGCTTTTAGTGTTATGAAACTGACAACCTTGTTGTTGTGTGTATACAAATTTTGTTCGCCTACGTCTCTATATATATATATATATAGATTGAGTATATATATATATATAAAATTATAATTGTACGTTCGGGCCTGATTGGAAATTTTTATTTCCATTGCTATCAGGTTCGGCCTCATTTCCTCTGTGCTGCGCTGATGAGTTCAAAAAGAACGAAACAGCATGCTGTCCGCAGATTGAGTATAAAAAATTATATATATATAATGAAGTGCTAACTCTAACGAGTTAACGAGGAGAAATCTGTCGTTAAAATAGAAATCGTTATCCAGAAATCGATACATATACTGTCGTATAGAGCGTTGAGAATAAGTGAGAATCGTTACATTTGGTATACGTAAACCAATCGATTTTGGGAAATCGTTATATATGCGCCTCGTTAGAATAATGGCTTTCACAGTAGTAGTCCGGGCTTCTATTCGAGAGGGGCTTGTATTTTTTCAAACAGTCCTTGTAGGTTTTTTTTATTCAAGAGGGGCTTCTTGAGTACGGTATGCCCATGAACATCCCCATTGCTGATTATGCCCGTGAACATCCCCATTGCTGATTATGCCCGTGAACATCCCCATTGCTGATTATGCCCATGAACATCCCCATTGCTGATTATGCCCATGAACATCCCCATTGCTGATTATGCCCGTGAACATCCCCATTGCTGATTATAGGGGATTCAAACACACGGGTAAAACCACGGTTATGGGAAAGTTGTTAGGGAAACTGTGGCACTGGGGGAAAGGAAAAACCTCTCGGGAAAAAATTGGCAAAGCTGTGGCCCTCAGGGCGTTGGTCAAGGGAAAAATCCCATGGCGCATGCGTAGATCTTGTCTTTGGCGAGAACTCTGAACCCTAGTTGTACGAGAGCATTGCAACTTGCATTTTCAGACAGTGCCCATCGGAAAATCGTGCGTGGCGAATGCAAGATACAGTACAGAATGTACTACAAAAAATGCAGTACAGATTATTTTTTTAGTTGCCCCGCCACAAGTTCATGGCGAAACGTGCGGCCAAGGCAAAACTGACCACGGGTGTGAACGGCCCCACTCCGTTGACCGAAGGTCTGAACTTTTACCTTGTCCCGTGACCTCAGGTTTACCCGTGTGTGTGAATCCCCTGTTATGCCCATGAACATCCCCATTGCTGATTATGCCCATGAACACCGCGACAATTCTCTCCTGGGCCACACCAGTGTGAGTGGTCAAAGTCATTTCAAACTTGCTTAGTGTTGGAGTGCATTCACAGGACGTGCAACATGTGCATGTGTTGATCAGCAACTGCAGGAACGGACCAGCTTGTGTAGCTATGTGACCAACTCAAAAACAATACACTATGGTAGTGCCGTGGGTTGAAGAATGAACAGGCTAGAATTCACCAAGCATAGCATACGGATGCAAAAAGCGGGGACTCCACTGTACATTGCCCGATGTCGGCTGCCATCGGTGGAATTCGACCCGAAGTGCAAAACTTGGCACCGTGAAACCTTTTTCCGATTACATCACCTCATTTGTGCACGTGTACGCCAAGTCACATGTGTACCGCTTCCAGGGCGCCAAATATGCACTTTAGGTTGGATCTAACCGAGGGCAACTGTACATGAACAACTTAGCTGTCCTTTCAGGAACTTGCGATTCCGTGGCCGCATGGTTTTCCGTGATTTCAACAAAAGTCTGCGATATCTGTGAAAAATGATCCATGCATAAAACTGTCCTTGACACTTGAGTCTTTCTTTGATGTTGTTTAGTTCTTCAACCTCGTCAGAAATTTACTTGCGAGATCGACATGACGGAATGGAGAAGTACTTAGTAACTGGGCAAATCAGCGGCTGACAAGTCAAAACTAAGGCTCGGCATATTTTCTGCTAAGGAGCGAGCACAACAATTTCGTCAAGTGTTGTCGGAGGATGCAGGAAAGCTGTCTTGCAAGCTCCTGTCAGGCAGTTGAGCACAGTCGCAATTGAGTACCTGTAGTACTGCGACTCACTTGTCCTCAGCAAGCATTCGGTCTGTTTTGTCATACTGTGCGACTAGTACTATGTAGCAAAATCGGTCGCAATTTTACCATAATATTTCCGACAAAACCCGCAACATTCCCCTCAATTTGTGGCAATTTACCTCGCAACTTTTCCGCGAGATTTCTGGAGGGACAAACGTAGGCTCCGAGGCCGACTGGCCTAGTTCTTGTGTGCGTGTGTGTGTGTGGTGGAAAGCTCATTCCGAGCTCGACGTGAGCATGGTGTTGGACTTGTTCTATGGAAAATCTGTAGGTGCACAGTTGGTTCACAAAGGACGTAAGGGGGGGGGGGGGGGTGTGGACGGGATACTAGTAAGCCTATTCAGCGATGCTCGCCTAGTGTCCTGTAACAAAAGCAGTCGGGAAGACTGCGACATTCTCTAGGTTCGACTGCATGCAGACAGTCGCATAAGCTGAAATTACCATACACACAACCCATGAAAAGGACAATGGGGTGGGGGCACGGGGGTATCAATTTCAAAAGCTGAAGCAGTACAGTACATGGAACTGATTTCTACTGGTACTAGACTTAGTGGACGAAGAGTCGACCAGCACACAAGAAAGCACAACTGTCACTTGCCCTAACTACGTAACGGTCGTTATACTTCTGACAGACACAGAGGTCATGCTCCATTGCCATTGGGCGGAGGCGCTGAGCTTCACTGCCCTGCAAACTCAGTAGTATTCAAACTAATGCTGTCACAGCTTTGCTCCGGCCCTGCCATCGCCACCAGGCTGAGGGGAGAGTAGAGCGCTACCCAGAGCAGTAGACTAGATAGAGTGATGGAGTCTCCACATCCCATCGGCACTATTCCTAAAGTAGGACAGTTCCCGCCTTTCCCGAACCCGAAAATTAAAAGTGAAGATGGAGCCGCTCACCTTGAAGCAGTGCCGCTGCACAGACAGCAAGGAACACAAGTCGAGCACACATTCTGGACGATGAAGTGAACTAATGCTAATGGACTACTTCGGCGGCTGGAATCCAAGGAAAGAAGATTTCACTCGCGTTCTTCAGCTCCAGAACTCAAACGCATGGAAACCGGACACACTTGCAAAAGAAATGAAAGGATCGAGCAAACCGAAACGAAATCCGATGACCCGCTCGGCGGTGAGGTCGTTCATGGATCACACGCATGCGCATGGCATGGCTGTACGCTATATATGCGCGTATACGTTTATTGATGCTGTCATTTTTGACTGACACGGTACGCGGCGCGGTACGATCGAGGCGTAGCTGTACGCGTGACGAACACGTACACGGAGGCGGAGGTATATTATGGCACCGCAGGCCGCGCACCTGAGGGCCTTTCTGGAAGCCTTACTCGATCGGATAGAGCGAAACTGAGCACCCTGGGATGCGAGCAGTTTTTAGTACTCCCGGGTCCGAAATCTCACCACCAGGCCGGGCTGATCAAAACGTCTGCCGGGTCTGCAGCCTACAAACGTGGATCTGTCGACACTGTGCTGTCGACGACATGTCCGGCAAGGCACCTTGCGTGAAAGCAAGGAACGCTTTTTTTTTAGAAAGGAAGCTTCTTCTCCAAAATTTTAAAAAAATTGAAAATTATTCCTTCTGAAAATATCATCGCGCTCTTGACCTCGAAGCTGACTGCTGAATGCGATTAAGAAAGAAGATTCCTGAAGATGCACCAGACTGATTCTGGCAAGCCGTCTGTCGTCTGGATATGCACTGTTGTTCGTCATGGTCAGCAATAGTCTTCGTTCGTCCTTTCGTTTTCCTGACCACGATGACAAGCAGCTCTCATGCTCAGGTTAGTGCTACTTGTATGTCTGGGCACACAACACATCTGAGATGCACTCACTGACGTTATCGTACTGAAGAATGCAGCAAGGGTTCCTCGGATTCTCTTGATTTCGGAACAAATTTCCTTCACTTTCACCCTCTCCGTCTCTTCCCCATGCCCTCCATGCATGCACAATGGAGCTTGCATTTCAAATGTTGTTTTTATACTTTGGCAGTGCCTCTGCTACACTTTCATAGAGAGTGAGGTCCTGTAAATAGGATCCAACATTGTTGGTGGTGGTGTGTGTGTGTGGGGGGGGGGGGGGGGGGGGGGTAGGTTTGCAGCCAGGATGTAGGAATGACACTTCTGCGCAGCAGGTGGCAATAGTCAGAACTGGTCACTCTACAAATCCCATACCTGCCAACCTTTGCAAACCTGAGATCGAATGACATACCTAGGCATGAACATGTATACAAATGTAGCTCGCGGTGAGGCATGGAACTAATGCACTTTTGGGTGCCTATTACCGCCCTCGATGTCGGGACGATCCCGGCCAAATCGGGATGGTTGTCAAGTATGAAATCGCAACCGAGAAAACCATTAAATTAAAAGATAAACTCGGGTGGAACGCCGCTTTTCTGGGAATAGAAAATGTGTAATGCCACTGTCGGCTTGTCCTTTTGCAAAAGTGATTCAGTGCCTCCCCAATGCTGTATGAGGGCCAGGACATAGCAACTTTCTGTATGCCGGGGGGGGGGGGGGGGGGGTCATCGTCCGCAACATTGGTAGAGTTACGGTTACATTGTATATGTAGATACATGTGCATCAGGGATTCATAGCACCTGGGGAGACGACATGAGACCAAAGTACCCAACGCGTTGTGAGTTTTGACCCCATATGGGTAGTTCTACGTGATCTGTGTTCTGTGCAGCTCTTAATCACAGGCTTGCTCTGTTAAGCCCAAACGTCTAGATCAACAATTCTATAGACCTTATTCGATAACATGATTTTTGGACTCGCCTCCAGGGATTTGTCGTAAGCTGGGGCACGCGTACGTGAAACAAGTGGCAAGAAAGGCCCAGTTCGTACAAGGGAGTAGTAAAATACAGGTATTTTTCTACTCCTATTTTCCCACGCCAAGTCCTCTGTGCACTGAGTGCAGGTCTCTTGCCGCTCCCTGGTTCCCGGGACCCCGGTTCACGTGATTGTGACGTTTATCGAATAAGGTCTATATGCAGACATGCATAAATAAACCCTTCCACAAGGACGGCTCAAACAGGCAGCCAAGGAGTGAAAATTTCACTCCTGTGGCTACGGTGTGAAACGAAGGCCTCAATTTGCCAAATGAACTTTCTCCATCGAAACGAACGAAGGTGTCCAATGATTCTTTTACCAGTTCACAGTTCCTGTTCACGCGCACTCCCGGAGGGGGGCTACTATGCACTTGTAGTGACACTTACCGTAAGCCAAGTTGCACCTATGGAAGCCAAGTGGAACACGCCTAGTTGACTGTACAGACTACAGTACAGTATACATGCAAATGTATACAGTGAAGATCAGTGCGTGCATGCCTGCCGTAATCGTATGTTGACCTTCGTTCGAATTGAAAAGAGAGGGTTGTTTCGAAAAAGAAAAAAAGCTCAATGGAAGTATGATGCTGCTGACAATTCAAGACTCACTGAAGTCACCTTTCTGGAATGGATCATGCGCTCTAGGTTCATCCAATTGGATATGGACTCAATCAGTGTTACACCATTCTTGTTTGGTTAGTTATCCTACATCCCATAGCATGTACAATCCACCTTGTGAATAATGTACCTCGGGTTTACAAAACAACTCACAAATAACGACACAATCTTCAGATCTAGTGACCATTTGATTGCATACTTCCAACCTCACGAGTAACAACAATACACCAATATCGACACTTTTCTCATTCACAATCGAGGGTCAATATTCCCCAGGTTGACTGCAAGTGCCAATCAAACAGGAGGGGCGAAAGTCTACCACGGCTGAAAAGGCGTAAAGAAAATGTATGTCATGAGCTACATGGCAGAAGGAGGAAGTAGGTTTTCTAAAGCAAGAAACAGATGTGAATGAAGCACCAGGTTTGTCCATGCAGTGGATAGAATTATTGTATTGAAAGACAGGCTCTTTACGTCACCTTGCTACTATTATACCTACATTTGCTTTCTGCCTTTTTCATGCAGGATTCTGAAAGCTGGAGCAGCTCTGCTTACCTCGACCACTGAACTTCCAACTAACTTCCAACCAAGTTCAAGGCAGTATTATGATGAATCAAGCACGCTTGCCATCATTTCGTCATTGCAAAGTACATCGACAATATAGATTTGGTGCTAACTATGTATGATGTAGAGTGTGCTCTATGTATCTATACTACTGATTGGCCTACATTGTACTTATGTGGGCTGAGAGTAATCGATTGTGCTGTATGGCAGTTTACTTGCATGTCATAGATGTTCACATTGCACTCAGCTACTGAATTGCGTTCTGTTGCACTGGCCTACTGCGGCCCACTGCAAATAGATTGTAGTGGCATGGGCCATGCCATAATTATAGTAGTATACCGGTACTACACCAACAGTTTCACTGGTGCACTGTACTTACTGGTAGATCTACATCATGCACAGCCTTGTCACTGCTTTTCCCACTTTTTATTAATTTACTGTACTGTACACATTTAGGCACAGCTCTTCCGCAAAGAGTTACTAGTATTTTCTACTGCATACCTACTGTATACAGTGACGTGACTGGTAACATATATGGCTGTGAAATCACAAACTAACTTCTGGGTTGACAGCCTCGAACCTATACGATTTGTTTCTGAGAACGTGCTATAACTATCATTCTATTAAAGTATTCTACTGTAGCTCGCAGGACATGGAGTGCAATTACGTAAAGTTTCGAACACCACTCTTCTGTGATTTGGATGTCAAATTATGAAATTCAGTGTGTGAGGTAAACCCATGCATGGCATTCACTGCTATAGTATGACTCGGGGTAAAGTGTTCCAACGCATACTCATTATAGTGAATAGGTGTATGTCAGTTAATCGGTGCCCAACGTTGTTGCTGCTGGATAACATATTCCGAGATAACTGAAGCTACACAGCCATCTAATGTTCAAACATGAATCGAAGGGGCCGTAACGAGATCTGCAAGGCATGATTCTATACCTGTACTGTAAGATATGTATATAATTATAACGAGGAAGTAAATCTAACGCTTTAACAGATGACATTTCTTCGTTATAATAAGATCCGTTGAGGCCATACTGCTTCATATATGTTGTGTGTGGATATGCCGGAATACCTCGAGGTCGTTAAACATATCTTCTCGTTAACCTATGAATTTTGGACAATCGTTATAATAACATGTCTTACAGTATTCAATGCTCTCTAGCAGGACATTCATCTGCCTCATTTTCTCTGTGCTGCATTGATGAGCGAAACAGCATGTTGTCCTCAGATTGAGTATTGTGTATGACAGACGTGTATGTAGTGGTAAAGCTCAAATACATGTACAACATAACAATCAATAACAATCCCCGTGTTTTACAACAGCACAAACCCAGCACCGCAATTCTTAATTTTGGGCTGTGGTGTTCTTAGTATTCCAGGCTGGATGTTCTAGGCTTCCACGCTCTTGGGCGCACGACTTTACTGTGCCGAAGAATATTTTCAGCCAATGAACCCAGTGCTTGGTGGCAGATGAGTGTCATGGAACAGCATTTTGCATGTGGCTTTCACTACATGCACATGTACCACGTTCAATTGATTCGGAAAAATCAGACGAGGACTTTTGCAGTTATGAGCAAGGTCCCCACGAATGGTCATGTCACTTCACAGAATACATGAACTGATAGAGTAGACTGAGGTCCACTCAGAGAACGCTTGGGGAAGTCGGTTTCAACTGAGGACATGTCCAAAACCATGCAAAGTACTTGAGCTGCTCATGACCCCCACAATTATCAGGCCCGCTGGAACCGGTCTGGTTGGCCACCAACAAATGTTTCCTGCTGTGGAGGACGTGTGTACCAGCCATATCACACACAAAGTATAAAAGGCCATGGACCAATCAAAAACTGCTTCCGGCGGTACTGATAATAGGACAGGTTTAAAAAGCGGCTCCATTTTTGTCATACATCAAACCAACTCTGTCATTGCTATGCTACTCAAAAAGAGTAGTGGTGTTTATTCACAAATGAATCACAATGCTATCAGAGAACTTCGATATTCTCCAATTTTAGGGGCACTGCAGTACTATGCAAAAATTAATGCTGCTTGGTCATTGTTATGAAGCAGTCACCTCAGTACAGCAATTAAACAGGCTGATTATGTGAACGAGATTCACGGCAAATCTTCTTCCATCAGTGCTGTTTAGTCTTGAGTGGTCCACTGAGGCAGGAAAACAACCTGTTCGGTCATTCCATACGAGAAACAGAAATTGAACATGTTCCAGGGTGGAGGTGGCGAGTATCGGCAATGTAATGCACCTTTAGGCCAACACGACCATCATTCCGACATGGATTCTCAAACACCTTCGCTCGTGAGTGTGCCTCAGAGTGGTATTCATCAACAGATGGCAATCCTGTAAAACACATGAAAAGACATAGCAGCAACACAAAGAAACCTAATGTTATAGAAACGAATTCGAAAAACAAAGTCTACTGAACCAAGGTACAACCACACTCCAGGAGGCAAGCAAAAGTGCATATAATCCGAAGGTTGCGATGCCTGTATGTATTGTATTTATGTATTCTCCACAGGCCTTAGCCTAAATCGAGGGAGTCTCTGTCATGCCACACTGGATACAACATGCTACCAGAATCACTTTCCCCAGTATTGATGATCTTTTCTTAGGGTGTTATATAAAACACATCTGTAGCCACTTCATCTTGCTCACGAAATCATACACCACCACACAAACGGGCCCTTCGGCTATTATACTTTGGGTGGTGATGTATGATATTGATAATCTATTGATACTAGGGCTGAAACGATTATATCGGTTATCCGTCTAATTGATCATTACAAGGAAACGATTTCGCTTACGCTGTCTTTTTCGATTACGCGATTCTTAAAAAAAAGAAACGCCTGCAAGAATCAAAAGATGTCATGTACAGCACTACTAGATACTGTACTTTGTCCTTTTCCTCGTTTCTTTTTCTTGTCCAAATGTTTTCCAGTAGGGGCCGTGAAAAAATAAAAAAAATAAAAAACTGACTGTCTGCACCTGCACGTGATGTGCCACTGCATTGTGTAGAGTACCCGGTTTATCTGCATGTGTGTATGTACATGTATATGTGTATATGTCAACACGGCATACTTTGTGCTGGTCCGGCGCGACAATTTCTAGGACACAGTAATTGATATCATAATCGATAATCGAATCGATACAAGGGTAGGTTAACCGATAGTTGAAAAGTGTAATCGTTTCACCCCTAATTGATACCATATCCAAGTCTGACTCTCACCGTGAGATCCTGGCAACAATATTACCTGGTACATGACATATTCAGACACTGACATAAGCATCTTTTTGGAACAACACGTGTGCCTATCTGCTAGAGTAATGTGACACACATGCAGAATCAGTCATAGCTAATTTTACCCCCTCACTGTTGTATGCGCATACTCCACTTCGTGGTGTCAAGTACTCTTCTTTCGGTGGGCTACTCCACTCAGGCGCTTGTCTTAAAGGACTCACATTCATCCTACAAACCTACACGACTTGCATAGTTTTCACTGTCGGCCGAAGTGCGTGCATTGCACACATTGATATTCACTCCCTCCGTACAGGCCAGTACAGAGCTGCCCACCAATTGAGTCTGTTTTGCGTACTCAGACTTCTGATTTTCCGTATCTTGCAGTGTGTTGCGTACTGCCGTGTACATTGCATGCAAGTTGCACTACAAAGTTTTTTGACACGCACATGCATGTCGGTGGCTGCATTTAGTAGTGTAAAACATGTGTGACTTGCACTCGCTTTGGTACAAGACTATTCATCGCTCAGCTTACACTTGCAATGCTTCTACACAGCTGATTGATCCTCTTCGATTTTCTATACCATTTGCTCAAATTCTGTAGTGCGGACAAGGAGTGATTTTCCGTACAAATACAGAACAATATGGAGGGCTGGTACTTGGTAGCACTGCTAGTATGGTAGTGCCAGGCTAAGCTGGCTGGAAGATCAAATACTTTTTTGGTTCTTTCAGTCATTTTCACGACCTATATTTTCTTTATCATGATCCCCGGGGTGTGACGTTCTTACGAATGCAGAAATCAGTCTTTCTAACCGAGTCTCACGTGCACTGTGAATTTGTTCTTCTTTTATTCACACTGCCATGTATCGATTCATCGCTTCTTCCCACCCGAGATCCTGTGCAACAGTGATTTAAATATTGGCTTTATCAAATAGTGATCAGAGAGAGAGAGAGAGAGGATCAGTTGTGGCTGCTGTGACAGCTGCATAGAGTGTAGATTGGTGCAAACATCATTGCCCAGCAGAACCGTATTCATAGGGACCTGCGTTTAGCATTTGGAAGCTATTTTTTAGAATTTTTACACGTCCAATAAGCCTGAAGCCAGAGAAGAACACCTAACTTAGACTGTCCTAACGTTATCGAACGCACTGCCAAAGTAAAAACAACATTTGAAGTGCAAACTCGATTGTGTATGCATGGAGGGCATGGGGAAGATACGGAGAGGGTGAAAGTGAAGGAAATTTGTTCCGAAATCAAGAGAATCCGAGGAACCCTTGCTGCATTCTTCAGTTCGATAACGTCAGTGGGTGCATCTCAGATGTGTTGTGTGCCCAGACATACAAGTAGCACTAACCTGAGCATGAGAGCCGCTTGTCATCATCGTGGTCAGGAAAACGAAAGGACGAACGTAGAAGATTGTTGACCATGACGAACAACAGTGCATATCCAGACGACAGACGGCTTGCCAGAATCAGTCTGGTGCATCTTCAGGAATCTTCTTTCCTAATCGCATTCAGCATTCAGCTTCGAGTTCAAGCTTTTCAGAAGGAATAATTTTCAAATTTTTTTAAATTTTGGAGAAGAAGCTTCCTTTCTAAAAAAAAAGCGTTCCTTGCTTTCACGCAAGGTGCCTTGCCGGACATGTCGTCGACAGCACAGTGTCGGCAGATCCACGTTTGTAGGCTGCAGACCCGGCAGACGTTTTGATCAGCCCGGCCTGGTGGTGAGATTTCGGACCCGGGAGTACTAAAAACTGCTCGCATCCCAGGGTGCTCAGTTTCGCTCTATCCGATCGAGTAAGGCTTCCAGAAAGGCCCTCAGGTGCGCGGCCTGCGGTGCCATAATATACCTCGGAGGCGGGCGCGCCTCCCGTACGGCCGTACCCGGATTTTGAGCACGGCGCCGCGGCCCGCGGCGCCGACGCAACGTCACTTTTGATTAAAAGTCGTCATCATGGCGAAGTGCGCATAATGCGTTGACCTGGTCATGACGGTTACCGGTTGCATGTAGTTCTATCGAGTACATAGATCTACGATGCATGTGTACATGTATGCCGCAACGCGCTAAATTCAAATTTTTCAGTCCTTCGACTCCTCCTGATTTTGGATATGTTCGTCGTTTGTTTTGATCGACTATCCATTCTTGTTCTGCCATTCTTGATCTGAGAAAGATACATGAATTTGCAGTGACAGTTCGTTAGACGTTTGCTCGTGGTGGTATTTTCTGGCATGTACAAATAGAATTGGCTTCTATGATGGACTCCTTCTCTCCTAAAGTCAGTCCTGTCGGCGGTAGTAAACGGAGGAAGTCTTCGCAGTCATCTGGAGGTGAAAATTCAGTAAGGACTTCTTTACGATACACTCGTCCATGGCATAATGATACATACACCTGTGCTTGGCTTAAGCCTTCATGTGAAGCGGACTAGGAGAGTGCACATGTGATTGTAGTTGTTTTTGAACGCTTGATATGTTCCAGATTTCCAGCAGACACAGCACATTCACCCACTCTGCTTCCCCACTATCTGGTGCTGAACGCACACGAGGCGCACGGTCTCCATACATCAGACGTGTGAACCAGATAGATGAAAAGCGGCGCAAGAAAAGCAGTGAGCGCAATAGGAGATGTTCTAGATCACCTCTCAAGGAATCACAGGAGAAGTGTGTGAAGAACACCAACAGCACACACTGCGACGAAAATGATCCATCAGTTTCGTCAACACATGGTCATGTTTGCGGAGCTACTATGACAATCGACGTGAGTGGACTGTGCCTTCTCAATCATGAATACAAGCATGTAGTTATTGTCTACTTGATAAGACCATGATCAGAAATATGCCGTACAATCCCCTGAAAATGTTGTGTATTGTCTTGAATTTATGTACTGAACAAGGAGAAATATTCGTCGGAAATTTTATTTCATCGTTCCGAGAGTTTCGGACTATATTTAAAAATAAATGAGTATTAACGGCAAATGCAGGACTAAATATTTTCTGTCTAGCCTTTGAGTACATTCCAACATCAGTGGGCAGAAATTTCAACCAGACAAACTGCCTTTCTTTGGAGTTACATGAAATTATTTGCTGACAAAATATTCTGCTTATACAGCACTGCAGTTCTGGTGAATGAAATAACAGACTGATGTTTTCTTTCCAAACTGCAAGCCGGTTTGACGACCTTGTCTACTCGGTCTGTAGAGAGGGAGAGAGAAGTCTGAAGAGAATGTTGAACAGTCTCTGCTGGGATGACGGCTACACCATAGCTCAGTGGTTAGAGCATCGCTAGCTACAAGCGAGGGTCCCTGGTTCGAGTCCTGGTGGTGACAGTCAATTTTTTCTTCAGACTTTTCCCGTTTGTGTCTTTCCCTCAAACTAGTGGAGAGACAGACAACAGAACATAGCCGAAGCACGCAACAGGAGCAAGACTTATACTGTAAAAGCGGAAATTTTCGGTGGTGTTTTATTTTCGGTAACTTTGGTGCCGACAATTTTCACCTAAAATAAAACGCACCGACAATATACGTACATGCATGCCGACTGCAGTACGGAAAACTGGTTTACCGAAATTTCGCGCTACCGAACCGTTGATTTTTTTGGGAAATACCGAAAATATTACACCACGGAAAATTCCCGGTTTTACGGTACTGATGACCTAATCTTAACGTTTCAACCATATTGATCTTCAGAATGATATTGATACTGGGGGAGGACACAGTTATTATAGGAGAGTATATGTGCCGAACAGACAGACATGCTGAGAGGAGCTCAGGACATCATGGCCAAATAGCCCGTGGCACTACACGTATACAGCAGTCCAGATTGCTCATGCCGCAACTGTCCTTATCTGTACGGCTCCTACATGCATTGTGTGTAAGGGTTTAAAAAAAATTTCAAGGTATGGAAAATCTGAGGTTTTAGTAGTGTACACAGATCACATAGTATCTTGGTAGTATGTATAAAGCTGGTTCTGGGACTTGTACATGCCCTGCCCCAAAAATGCGGTATTGATAACACCACATTTTTACGGTAAATAATTATCCAGGCACCCAGTTTTTAGATTTGCAGTATTTTGAACTGTATGTATGCCGGTGGTATACGTGTTGTGTCCTCAGCAGAATGTGTGTATGGCCATGGCTGCACGGCCTACACAGTCACCAGCGCTGGGCACAGCGGCTGGCGTGAGTAGCGGCACATTTGTCGGCAGAACCACTGCAGCAGAATGCATTGGACCGGAGTCGGTCGGCTCTGGCACGTATGCGCTGTGCGACCAACCGCAGGCGGCGGGTCAGACGTTTGACTTCAAAGCAAAGTTCTTGCAACTGTTGGACACCCGCATGACCAAGCCCGAACAGGAGCTGGTCTCAACGAATGCACAATTCCGGGAGTATATGCATGGTGAGTAGTACCGTGCTGCTCAATGAAATCCAGTCGCGTCACTCAAGACTAAGCACCGTGCGTTGCGCAGTCCTAGACCTGCGAACACTGGGCTGCGAAATTGTGCAAAGTGCAAACTTGAGCGACGCGACTGGATTTCATTGAGCAGCACTGTAGTAGTTCAGTACTAACAAGAGTACATAACCCCCCAGAGTGTGCAACGCTTGATCCAGCTGTGCATAGGATCTTGGTCGAGCGTAATCGGATCTTTGCATCATAATACCGTACACATCTGAGGGGAACCCGGGGAGTTGCGGGTACTCTCGGATCAAAAACAAGGGTACCCTGCCTCGAGACCGGCCGGCCTTGCGCTGGTGTAGAGTGTACGCATGACATCAGAAGATCCGACTACGCTTGACCAAGACCCTATGCAGAGCTGGTTCAGGCGTTGCACACTCTGGGGGGTTTGTACTCTTGGGACTAATCTACTATTAAGCTGGTGCTGGTACAGTTGGGGGCAAGAAAATCAGCTTCCCTGTGCCACTACCGTAAAGTACCGTTGATCCGCCCCCCACGCCATGTCGCTTCCCAGCTGGGTTTTCGGCAAGGGCGGGAATTAGATCAAGGCTGTCAAGTGCAGTACGATGTACAACAACGTAGAAGTTCAGACTCGATGTGCTGGATTGTGCACATTTTCAACCTGGATTGGCAAGTATTGTGTACAGCAGTGCATGCGTCGGCTCAGCATCGTATTTCGTTGTATACGCCGAAGTCGCTTCACAGGTAGAAAATCGACAGGGGGCGGGAATTAGAGAGGGGGCCGGGCGGATCAACGGTACTTTATGGTACTAGTACTAGGCAGTGCGGTGGATAGCTGCCCATATATAGACGCACATGCGGGCCGGTACTATATTTGGGCGCAGATGCAACATGGTTACATAATAGATACAGTCTCCGTTATAAGCCCCAGACTTATATTTTTTCAACCAGTCGGGACCCTCGGCTTTTATCAGAGACAGGGCTTATACTGTTTCAACTATCTGCTTCAGGTACATTGGTTCTGGGCTTTTTTTGACACCAGAAGCACAACGTTTCCTAGTTGGTAGTGTGACTGCAGTTTTATACAGTGCCACTCTCTGGTGAGACGCACCCGTCGGCAGGGGAAAACATTACTTACCATCCCAGCTACTTCTTAGCCAACGTTGAGTCCGACTGCCCCACCAATACGCAATACATGTGCCCTGTGCCAACATGCTCGAAATTATTTATTGCAATCGGAAATTCATGATGTTAGTGGCGCCGCCAGCCGGGATTGCCTAGCGCCTGAACAGCCTCTCCGCACTGTCAAATTCTGTAGTACCTGTCATGCAAACCTGCCATGTGTACAGATGTACGAAAACACCAAATATGTAAGTATGTAGAACCCCAGGCCAGATTTGTCGGAACCTGCTGCACTGTAGAGTCCGGCATGCACGAGTTGTACGTCATATCCGTACACACTTGAATATACGCTTATGGTAGGAAAATCCGTACGACGAAAAAAAAAAAGAATCGTACTAAGGGGGCATTCGTTTTTGATCTACAGGTTTGGGTACAAACTACTTCTTTCGGTAGATGTGTTGAACAGTTCCCAGGACCCATTTTTCTGCTCAAAAGAGTAGATTCTACCTTTCTCTACCGGCTCTACCAGGTTTGAAGCTGGTAGAGGTACAGGATATCCAGCAAGATCAAGGACTTGTACACATCTCCATGTCTCCATGACTCCATGTCTCCACATCTCCATGTCTCCATGTCTCCATGACTACCATGTAGAAGAGAAACATTTCACGTACATACAGTAAAACCTGTAATGGCGACCAGTTTTCCTTTTCCTTGTCACGGACGCATTCACATTCAAAACAGCTCGGATAAGGCGACCACTCGCTCAACGCGACCGACGACCACCCACCCGTGACCGCGTTGCACAGTGCTAGTAGCCTAGTACATGTAAATGTATGCATTGCATGGTGCACCATGCATGGTAGATCTACACATCAGTGCAGGAACTGTGTAGATGTACATGTACATGGTGTATGCACAACACTTGACAGGTCTGAGGACCCCAGGCACATGAGTCGTGGTAGAGTAGCATAGGTGTGTGCACTGTGATACACTGATCAAAATGATGTATCACATGTGGATATGGTCACGTGACCCACTTAACCTGGATAAGAAGACCACCTGGCCACGGCGACCACTTTTTCTCGTCCCTTGAGGGGTCGCCTTAGACAGGTTTCACTGTATCGTGAAAAACTACTAAATCCGGTGGGAAAGCGTTTGTGCATTTACCTCTACCTTCTACCTCTATCGGTAGAATGACTCTACTCTACCAGGTAGCTAAAAACGAACACAGCCTAAGGGCATGATCGATTGGGCGAATCCCGAGCAAGTGCGCTCCGAGTGAGCGTGAGCGTTTGGCCGAATCCGGAGTAGGTGTACTTGGAGTGGAATCCGACCACACCGGCCCCCACACCGGGAGTGGCTGGAGTGGAAATGTACTTTGACGTTTTTGACAGCTTTCACAGAATCTTTGTACGATATGCGTACATTTTGCGTACTACACCCTTGCTTTGTTCGATTGGGCCAGCGTTTCTCGGACCACACCGCCTGCTTGCACTCAATCCAGATTCGCCAATCGGACTGGCGCCACAGCATGTGTATATGTGGTGCTGTGTGGCATCAAACATGTATGTGTATGTGATTCTGTGTGACATCAAATATGCATGGTAACTTTGGTTGGCTCTCGTTGCGGCACCAACCTTTCAATGTGACTCTCGTTTGTAATGCTTTTGGCACGGCTTTGTGAGTACCTATATTATACTTCATTGAACTGGTGTCTTATAAGTTCTACTGTCATTGAACACTGGTGTCTTTGTTTCTTGTCTTGACATTGTAGCAAGCAGCACTGTGGTACAGGCTTTGCGGAGTGAGCTCAAGGAATCAGAATCTCGCTCCAACAGTACTCGCGAGGAGTGCAATCGCTTGCAGGAGCAAGTTGCTCAGTCGGATGCATCGCTTGTTGAGCTGCGAGCCAGTAACGAAGAGCTGTTGCGTCAGCTTGGTGAGTGTGACTTTACAAGTTTATGTGCATGATACTAGTACACCAGTAGTTTTGATGATGGTTTGTTTAGTATGTATTGCAGGCAGTCACACCGGGAACTCTCCTTAGCCACATGTGTGCAGATCACCATGGTTGGTAACCATGGTGTGCAGATGCGAATGTACATGCACTTGTGCTGGCTTTGCTGGCTTCTTGTTTGTTTTTTTAATTAGAGCACAGACATACGACGACCCCGCGGACGACCACGTCTGAGATGGATCGACGTGGTCAAGAAAGACTTACAATGCATTAATCTCTCGCTTCTGGATGCTGTGCAATCTGCTTCTGATAGAGCTGCTTGGCTTGAAATTGTCAACAGATGCGTTGACCTCATGCAATGAGTGATATGCGAACTGTCATTATTATTAGAGCAATCAAGAGTACTTTTAATATTCGACAAGGAGACGACCATTTTAATATCGCAATAAGGAGGACGAACTGAAGTGACGTTGAATTACTAAATCAAGAGTACAATCGACAATCTTTACACACAGCACAATCTTGATTGCTCTAACTAAATTGCTTTCTCCACGCCGGCTTTTTTCTTTCTTTCTTTTTCTTTCACTTTTTACGTTACGCAGAGGTTGCACGTGAGGAGTTGGCTGCAGAGAAGCTCGCAAGGCAAGAGGCTGAGGAGCGTACCCAAGAGGAGCTACAGGCGCTGCGCCAGAGTGAGGGTGACTGGCAGGAACAGCTTAGTGTTACCACTGCAGAAAGTGAAGACCTACGCATCCAGACGGAGGCGCTACGCGGCTATATCGCCGAGCAGGCCGAGGCAACATCCAGCGAAGAGGTAAGTTTTGTTTGTGTGTGTGTTCTCTACCTCTGATGCCCCTCCGGGGCCCACGTGACCCTTGTGGCAGTGGCTCTACAGGACAGGTGTGTGCGTGTGTGTGTTTCTGTGTGTCCTGATACAGTTATCAGGCTAGCAGTGATGCTAAGCAACAGTTGTACAGTACTGCTCAATGAAATCCAGTCGTGTCACTCATGTACGCACCGGCCGGGCGTTGCGCAGCCCTAGACCTGCAAACACTGGGCTGTGAAATGGTGCAAGGCGCAAACTTGAGTGACACGACTGGATTTCATTGAGCTGTGCTGTACTTTTCAGATATATCGGTGCTTCCTTCCGCCATATCCATGGTGATTGGTCATTCCTTTTGACTTTGTTTCACTACGGTGTGTTGTGGTGCTGTGTGTTTCCATGGTAGCAAGTGCAATACTGTGTGGTGCTGTCTTCTTTCTCTTCGGTGCTTCATATCCAGGTGGATAGTATGAAACACATCATCGACTGTTACTCCAGAATGACGGGTTTTCAAGTTCAAGTCGATGTGTCGAAGTGGGACGAGAACACGGAATCGTTCCGCTGCTTCTTTACCGACGCTGTTGGAATGGAAGGTGAGCAACGCTGTGTACCCATGCTGAGACGGCCAAGTCTCTCTCCAATCAGGCAGCGCCTGGTTTTCTTACAGACCAATACCTAGTAGACTAGGCTCGTCAGACTTGCTTTCCGGAATCTTTTTGTACATAATAGTGTATTCAAACTCGGATCGGAGTTTCACACTCTTGTTGCTTCTGTACTCTTAATGAAAGTATGCAGTGACATCTCCAGTTCAAGTGCTCTGATTTTTTCCTTCTGAATTGTGGAGTGGCCCAGTACTATTCAATCCCGTACAAATCACCTGCAGAAGCGTGAAAGTCACATGCTCAGCAAGCAGATTATTGTACAGACTAGCTGTCTTTTTCTGCAGTATGTCAAAGTACGTGTACGGCGTGGATTAATTTAATTTAATTCCCGTAGCTATGCAGAAGACGTTACTTCAGTAACGTCTGGCGCTAGCCAGGGTCCACACAGCTTTAATTTGGTGTTTGTTTGTGTGTTTGTTTGTGTCACGCCTGGCGCTATCCGTATCTGACGGCAAAAAAGCATAGGATGTTATAAATTTTTCAATTCTCCTATTTTTTTCAGGCATATCCTGGGATTCAAACCCGCACTATCGCCCTACATGCATTCCCCCATACACTTCGCATTCATACCCATTCTTCCAAGTTGCTTTACGTTCTTGCGTTTGAAAGCCCTATTTGAATATTGCGGGCAGCTGTATGTGGCCAGCTGTGTTTGATGGTACGGTACGGTACGGGAGACGGTGTCGTATTACCCTCGATCGTACCTGTCCCGCGGCCGTCCCTATCCCCTACCGTACCGTGCCATCAAAGACGGCTGGCCACAATGCATATTCAAATAGGGCTTTCAAATGCAAGATCACAATGTGAAACAACTTGGAAGAATTAGTATGTATGCGAAGTGTATCGGGGATGCATGCAGGGCGCGCGATAGTGCGGGTTCGAATCCCAGGTTATGTCTTTATAAAAAAAGGAGTTTTTTAAAGAATTTATAAAATCCCTATCCTTTTTTTGTCTAGGTCATCAAGGCAAAAAAGCATAGCGTAGGGCCCTGAGCTTCCAAGCTCTCTCGTTCCCGTAGCTATGCAGAAGACGTTACTTCAGTAACGTCTGGCGCTAGCCAGGGTCCACACAGCTTTAATTCCCGTAGCTATGCAGAAGACGTTACTTCAGTAACGTCTGGCGCTAGCCAGGGTCCACACAGCTTTAATTTGGTATTTGTTTGTTTGTGTGTTTGTTTGTTTGTTTGTTTGTTTGTGTCACGCCTGGCGCTATCCGTATCTGACGGCAAAAAAGCATAGGATGTTATAAATTTTTCAATTCTCCTTTTTTTTTCAGGCATATCCTGGGATTCGAACCCGCACTATCGCCCTACATGCATTCCCCCATACACTTCGCATTCATACCCATTCTTCCAAGTTGCTTCACGTTAATCTTGCGTTTGAAAGCCCTATTTGAATATTGCGGGCAGCTAGACGGTGTCGTATTACCCTCGATCGTACCTGTCCCGTACCTATTCCCTACCGTACCGTGCCATCAAAGATGGCTGGCCACAATGCATATTCAAATAGGGCTTTCAAATGCAAGATCACAATGTGAAACAACTTGGAAGAATTAGTATGTATGCGAAGTGTATCGGGGGCTGCGTGCAGGGCGCGCGATAGTGCGGGTTCGAATCCCAGGTTTTAAAAAAAGGATTTTTTTAAAGAAAACATCCCTATGCTTTTTTTTGTCTAGGTCATCAAGGCAAAAAAGCATAGCGCAGGGCCCTGAGCTTCCAAGCTCTCTCGTTTGGTATTTGTTTGTGTGTTTGTTTGTTTGTTTGTTTGTGTCACGCCTGGCGCTATCCCGTATCTGACGGCAAAAAATCATAGGGATGTTATAATTTTTTCAATTCTCCTATTTTTTTCAGGCATATCCTGGGATTCGAACCCGCACTATCGCCCTACATGCATTCCCCCATACACTTCGCATTCATACCCATTCTTCCAAGTTGCTTCACGTTATGATCTTGCGTTTGAAAGCCCTATTTGAATATTGCGGGCAGCTGTATGTGGCCAGCTATATCCCTACCGTACCGTACCAGCAAAGACGGCTGGCCGCAATGCATATTCAAATAGGGCTTTCAAATGCAAGTTCATAATGTGAAGCAACTTGGAAGAATTAGTATGTATGCGAAGTGTATCGGGGGACGCATGCAGGGCGCGATAGAGCGGGTTCGAATCCCAGGTTATGTCTTAAAAAAAAAAGGAATTTTTCAAAGACCGGGTGATGCATGCAGGGCGCGATAGTGCGGGTTTGAATCCCAGGTTATGTCTTAAAAAAAAAGGAATTTTTTAAAGACCGGGGGATGCATGCAGGGCGTGATAGTGCGGGTTCGAATCCCAGGTTATGTCAAAAAAGGATTTTTTCAAAGACCGGGGGATGCATGCAGCTCGCGATAGTGCGAGTTCAAATCCCAGGTTATGTTTTTACAAAAAAGGATTTTTTTAAAGAATTTATAACATCCCTATGCTTTTTTTTGTCTAGGTCATCAAGGCAAAAAAGCATAGCGTAGGGCCCTGAGCTTCCAAGCTCTCTCGTTTGGTATTTGTTTGTGTGTTTGTTTGTTTGTGTCGCGCCTGGCACTATCCGTATCTGACGGCAAAAAAAGCATAGGATAATATAAATTTTTCAATTCTCCTTTTTTTTTCAGGCATATCCTGGGATTCGAACCCGCACTATCGCCCTACATGCATTCCCCCATACACTTCGCATTCATACCCATTCTTCCAAGTTGCTTTACGTTATTATCTGTTTGAAAGCCCTATTTGAATATTGCGGGCAGCTGTATGTGGCCAGCTGTGTTTGATGGTACGGTACGGGAGACGGTGTCGTGTTTCCCTCGATCGTACCTGTCCCGTACCTATCCCCTACCGTACCGTGCCATCAAAGACGGCTGGCCACAATGCATATTCAAATAGGGCTTTCAAATGCAAGATCACAATGTGAAACAACTTGGAAGAATTAGTATGTTTGCGAAGTGTATCTGGGGATGCATGCAGGGCGCGCGATAGTGCGGGTTCGAATCCCAGGTTATGTCTTAAAAAAAGGATTTTTTTAAAGAATTTATAACATCCCTATGCTTTTTTTTGTCTAGGTCATCAAGGCAAAAAAGCATAGCGTAGGGCCCTGAGCTTCCAAGCTCTCTCGTTTGGTATTTGTTTGTGTGTTTGTTTGTTTGTGTCGCGCCTGGCACTATCCGTATCTGACGGCAAAAAAAGCATAGGATGTTATAAATTTTTCAATTCTCCTTTTTTTTTTCAGGCATATCCTGGGATTCGAACCCGCACTATCGCCCTACATGCATTCCCCCATACACTTCGCATTCATACCCATTCTTCCAAGTTGCTTTACGTTATTATCTGTTTGAAAGCCCTATTTGAATATTGCGGGCAGCTGTATGTGGCCAGCTGTGTTTGATGGTACGGTACGGGAGACGGTGTCGTATTTCCCTCGATCGTACCTGTCCCGTACCTATCCCCTACCGTACCGTGCCATCAAAGACGGCTGGCCACAATGCATATTCAAATAGGGCTTTCAAATGCAAGATCACAATGTGAAACAACTTGGAAGAATTAGTATGTTTGCGAAGTGTATCTGGGGATGCATGCAGGGCGCGCGATAGTGCGGGTTCGAATCCCAGGTTATGTCTTAAAAAAAGGATTTTTTTAAAGAATTTATAACATCCCTATGCTTTTTTTTGTCTAGGTCATCAAGGCAAAAAAGCATAGCGTAGGGCCCTGAGCTTCCAAGTTCTCTCGTTTTTTACGGGACCGATGGCACGAACAAAATTTGTTTGAAAGATACAGTAAAACCTGTAACTAAAGACCACCGTGACTAGCGACCAGCCTCGTACTACAGACCACTTCGCCAGGTATGGGCGGTCTCCTAACTAAGGACCAACTTCCACAAAAGACTGCTTTCTCTGGCCCCAAGGGGTGGTCGTTAGTCACAATAGCCACAGTAGAGGAGAGAAAAACAGTACAGTACGGATCGGCTATAGCGTTGGTGTTTGATTTTCGTGAAAATATCACTATAGGCGATATATTACTATAGGCGATATGCATACTTAGGTATGCCTGACAAATGCGTGTATGGTGTCATTCGAATCAGTGCAGCGTGCAGAAGCGCGTGCTGTACTGCTGTGCATGTGACTGTGCAGTACGCGCAGTGACTTTTTGACATGAGTTTTCAAGGAGTTGCTGTGCTCAACAAATGTGTTCTTTTGGAAGAGAAACACTTCAACACATTCAATCGACATATCAACAATATCTACAGGATCGATTAGTGGGAGTAGAGTCTCAGTCTGGGTCGCCATCGCTCGACTCATCACCGCTGAAACCGTTCCAAGTGGCAGGTCGATCGACGCGTGATGTTGCATGTCACGGAGAAGCTTCTCCGCGTCCCTGATCGTCTTCGCTGTTACCTGAATGCCTTCTCCAACATCTCGGCGGAGACCACGGTAGCACTTCAGCGCTGGTACTCATTACTGCCTCCGATCTCGCTCGAGGATGCCCCGGAACAACAAGCACAGCAAACGCCAAACATTTCGAATTTCCTCCGAGGGATATCATAGTCGTACCAGCGGCAGCGCTTCCTGGCTGCCGCGATCAGATCTCGCCATGTACGATGTATATTAATTTTTTATGATCATCACTATAGCCGATGAAAAATGTATGCAATAAGATCATTTTGACAAAGAAATCGTATCATTATAGCCGATATATTACTATAGCCGATTATTACTATAGCCGATCCGAGATGTATAGGAAGGGGTGGTTTACGAAAATGAATTCGAGAATACGATCACTATAAAAAGAGGTATAATTTTTACTATAGCCGACAACCGTATAGCCGATCCGCACTGTAGATTGGTTTGTGGATCACTAGGGCTCTCTGCCTTCTTCTTGACCCATATGCACTACATAGCTTGTGCATCAGGTGGCTCCTTGCATACTCTGGAGCTGCTGAAATCTGTAATAAAAACGTGTACTCTGCATCAGAGAGTAAATATTTAATCCGAGTGTGTTGTCTTTGCAAAATCCAAGCGAGCAAGTACTCGAACGTCTGGTATCATTGCTTCGCCTCACCTCCCCTGGGAAGCCACACAGTGTGTGTATGTGTGGTGGGAGTATGAGCAAGTCCTGGCTCTTCTTTGTCCTGATATTTCAGGTGAATCGGTGTGACTTATGTGCGGGGAAGTACGTTCTTCATAAGGTCAATCTCACAGGCTTGTACACCTACTCCAATGCGGTAGTCCGTTGTTGCTTTTGTGTTCTATAGGTCATGGTTTCTCTTTGCTCCATCATCTTGACTGCAAGGAGGTTGAATACAGCCCGGAAGTGCAGTCCGTTGCCGACACACCCAGGAAGTCGCTGAGGAGGCGAAGCGTGGGCCGCACCAAGATCACAACACTTCCGGAGTACCTGCGCGAGGATATTCTGTTTGATGACGCGCGTGGCTCACCGCGCTTCACCTTTCTCATGCTACAAGCTCTTGTTGGTCAGCTGAAGCAGCCACCGCCAGTGTCTTGATGTGTCTTCCTTCGCTTTTTACCTTTCTCTATCGAAACCCTGCATAACAGTTTTGCTTGTGCGCATTCCCATCAAGTTAGTTTCTCACTGTAGTTTCCTCTTGGCAGTTGTTGGTTGTGGTTCCTTTGTATCTCTCTCTCTCTCTCTCTCTCTCTCTCTCTCTCTCTCTCTCTCTCTCTCTCTCTCTCTCTCTCTCTCTCTCTCTCTCTCTCTCTCTCTCTCTCTCTCTCTCTCTCTCTCTCTCTCTCTCTCTCTCTCTCTCTCTAACTGTGAGTTGAACCTCTCGTTGTCTCTAGGCTGCATTGCCTAGTCCCTGTTTGTGTAGTTAGTGTTGCCAAGCTGTTATAGCCAAGCTTGTGTCTACGTTTAGAATCAGCTTTTTCTTTTTTCTTTTTAGGTCCAGTTCAGTTCTTTCCTATTATTCAGTTTTTGTCTTTGTTGTAGCACGCTTGCAGGACAACCACGTGCCACTGGTGCTGTAACCTTAGCAGCCATTCCCGTACCTCTGTGTTTATGATTGTTCTCTTCAGTAATCCTGGTATCTAATTGTGCCCACTTCCCTGTTCCGGCGATGTCCTTGATTCAGCCAGGCAGTGTTTTGGCATGTTCAGTGTTGCTGTCTCGGATGGCGTCCGAGTCACTCCTCTTCAATTTTTCGCATCACAATCGTGCATCTTGGAGTTGTTGGTGCCCTTTTCTGCGATCACAACCATAACAATATTTACTATTGTGTGTGTGTGTGTTTGTGTGTGCGTGTGTGTGTGTGTGTTGTGTGTGTGTGTTTGTGTGTGCGTGTGTGTGTGTGTTGTGTGTGTATGATGGTACATGTATACCCATAGCTGTATATTGGCTTTGATGTATGTAGCTATCATTCCAAACTACAGTGTACTGATTTCTCATTGTGTAAGTTGAGTAGGATAACCCGTCATGCGATTTAACTAATTAAAAGTTTCTTTACAACTGACTTGGGTTGTGTGTGTGTGTGTTGGCAATGGGCAAGTTCAAGGTATGTCTCACAGTTTGTGTGTGTGTGTGTGTGTGTCCCTGTGCCTTCTGACTGCTGGTTTTTTGCTGGATAAATTAAGATCGCTCTGTCTGGAGGCAGATTGCTCCGCGTCGTGCTCCCCCTGGTCCTGACTCTGGCTTCCGCTGCGCATGTGGAAAGGTCTGCCGTCGTCCCAGGAATCTCAAGTGCTACGCTCCGTACTGCAAAGCTATAGCAGATAGTCCCTTCGCCGCAGTATCATTGCCATTGACAATGGACACGTTCAGGGTGTGTGTGTGTGGGTAAGCATTTGGAAGTAGTTGGACTAGTTTCGCCTCCACAATCCAGTATGTCGTTACTATAATAGCTTTCATGGCTGAGGTTGTTGGTATGTCTGTTGGCTCTGGGTTCCCAGTACCCATGGTAGCCGAGGCTGGTCGGTAAAGTAACTCAAATTTCACTTCAAGGTACCAGTGCATCTAGTGTCTGCTTCTTTCAAAGCAGCGTGCTGTCTTTTATCCTGCCCGACCGGTGGATTTCCGTCTTTAAAAGACACAATGAAATCCGTGACGTCACCGCCGACCTCGTTCGCCAGGTGGCTCACTCGGTATCCGTGGAACCTCCACTCCAACCACTCTCTGGTGAGCAGTTCAGCCTCCAATCTGCTTCCTCGTAGTAGAGGACAATGCTCGCCTCGACATCGCGGGCTATGGGGTGGCCGGTTCGAACGCACAATGTTTGATATACGGGTTTTCAACCCCTATGCTGCTTCAAATCGTGCTGCCTCAACCCCCGCTGTGTATGCCCGCCATGAACGCGAGAAGAGGAGGAGATATGAGGCCCTGAGAGGACTCGGGAAGTTGAGAGGGCCTCCTTCGTGCCAGTCGTCATGTCGGCTAGTGGTGGTGCTGGGAAAGCCGCCACAGTTTTGTACAAGTGCTTGGCTGCTCTTATCTCTGAAAAGAGAAACGACCAGTATTCTGCCACCATGGCGTGGATTCGCACTTGGCTGTGCTTTGCGCCAGGGAGTATTGTACTACTCCCTGCTTTGCGCTGGTGAGGTCGAGCATCATGTGTTTGCGTGGTGCCAGATCGTCTAAGTCCCGCTACCTCCAGCGAGATCCGGTTGCGGTTGTCGTTGCCGGGAGGCACGCCTGCGGCCTGAGGCATCTGACTACTAGTAGTTTGTAAACAAACAAAAAACACACATTTTAAAAGTTGCTTGGACTGAATTTCACTTGTTTTATCAGACAAGTTTAATACTGCGCAGTACTCTTATCTGTACTGTGCATGTTTGCTATAGCGCTACATAATCAATCAATCATATCAACTCTTGATCATATCAATCAATGTAAATTAACTGTCATGACGTCATGACTTCTGAAAAAAACCCGAAAAAAACCTCTGTCATGCCGCGGTTGCCATATCAGTTCCCGCCATTTTCAAAAACACACGTGAACACTGCATCCATGTCCCGATCACATGCATGATTCAGTCAACAACACAAAAGTCAAAAGCAAAATTCCGAACGAACGTGAACGAGGCCGCTTCAAAATTTCTATCTTCACGACTTGGTTTGTGGTACAGTTCTATTTGGGTTCTCCACTCGCAAGGAGTGAATGCAAGCTACACGATTCGCCAGAACGTGCTTTGTGAGGGCGGCTGTGGGTAAAGTCTTCTTCTCCACAACAACCGGTATGTTGGCTTCAACCCCACCCAAACGAGGCGCCCTGGTCGTTCTAGAAGGTTGCGACCGCTGTGGCAAATCTACGCAGGCTAGAATGCTATCTGAAGCTCTGAACAAGTCGAACCTGACAGCGAAGACCATGCAATTCCCCGGTAAGAATACTTACTAATGAGGTGTGTAGTGTTCGGACACTGCTTGTTCCGTATTTACTAATGAGGTGTGTAGTGTTCGGACACTGCTTGTTCCGTATTTACTAATGCATTTGGCACACATGCACAGTTTTTAAATATTTTTTAAATATAATTATTATTATGCTCCATCTGCGGACAGAACTGTGTTATGAACTGCTATATTAGGTGCCTTATGACTCTTGTGTCACACTGTATGTTGCTATGCATGCTGTGTACACGCTCACCCATATGCGCGCGCCTCTGCTTTATGTGTACACCTCTCATGCTGTGCATGTGTCCACGTGCGTAGCTGCACTCCTTTCTCAGATTGCATGCCCGTCTTTCTGTACTTCAGTAGTTGAGTCGATCCTTTAGTTCAGTGTGCTTCAGTCTGGTTCTGATAACTTACTTCTAACTTCTATGTCTCTTCCAATTCTCTGGTAAATAATTCATTCCCTAATCCGAAGTGTTGCGTTAGTGCTGGCTGGTCGAACGTGGGTTCCACTACAACTGGTGCCGAAACCCGGGACGTGTGTGTTGTATTGACGAGTGCAAACCCTGCCACGCCAGCGAGATGTCGCTCAAGTTTGACAACTTCCTCCAGCCGTTCCGTGGGAACGGGGACGATTTCGGACGTTTTTGGGATAAGTTTCTGGTGCTTGCAAACATACAAGGTTGGGACACGGACGACAAGAAAGTGAAGAATTTTCCGTTGTTCCTGACGGATGACGCGTTTCTTGTATTTTCACGGATGCCGGCAAGCGATCAGAAAGACAAAGATAAAGTCTTGGCGAAAATGGGACTGTCGTTCACTCTGACGAAGGCGCAGGCGTACGCCAGATTCACCTCACGGACGATGCGCGTGGATGAGTCCCCCGACGCCTACGTTGCCGATTTGCAGCGACTGAGTACTATGGCGGGGCACAAGGCTGATGACGACAAGGACCCGATGATCATAGAGCAGCTGATCAAGGGACTGCCGGTAGAGTTTGCCCGAGAGCTAAGACTTACGATGGCGGGCAAAGAGTTGAGTGTGACGGGTTGCCTGGACGTGGTACGGGCGTTGAAGGCTGCGACCTCGGACCACTTGACACGAGTGCGTGGCGATGTTGTTGTGGCAGCTGCCACCACGGATGAGCAGGCATGTTTCAACTGTGGCGGAGTTGGCCACATGGCGCGGCAGTGCCCGAAAGCGAAGAAATCTGGTCGCAAGAGTGGTGCTGGTAAAGGAACGCGCGGCGAGCGTACTGGCCCTCGAACCTGTTACTTCTGTGACAAGCCAGGTCACATGAAGAGTGACTGTCCGGAGCGTAAAGCCTGGCAAGAGCGGAAATCGTCTGGAGCAGCAACGGCTGCAGACAGTGGCTCCCTGGCGAGGGGTGCGTGTTTGTGCACTGTAGCCGAGGCTACTAGAGCTTCACTGCCCAGAATCTACGTTGACGTGCGAGGCGTGGTAGGCAGCGAATGGGCACGTGCTAGAGCAGCAGTGGACACTTGTGCAAGTTACACAATGGTTACGGTCGAGTTCCTCAAACTTCACAAGATTCCGTTCACTGCTCAGCCACGTGTGTCTGTTGTATCCGTGGATAGCAGCAAGGTGAAGATCAGAGGAGCAGTTGATGTGGAACTGCAGCGCCAAGGGGATGGTGAACCGGTTAGTCTGCCAAGAGTGCGTGTGAATGCCTGCGTTGTCGACTCATTGACGGCTGTGGCAGCAGACCTCCTCCTCGGTGCTGACGTTATAGCTGGTGTTGGTGGCGTTCGACTCAGTTATGGCCAGGACGGCGAGGTCAATGGCGTGTGCTTTGGTCCTCAACCTAGAGATACCGGTGCAGCCGCTACTGCTGCAGCTGACGTTGAGAGCACACTCCGTCATGTGGACGTCACAGAGGACGATCGTGGTGTGACCCTGAAGGCCGAAGACGGAGAGCTCCGGTGGGACAACGACAAGCAGCATTGGACGTTGCACTGGCAGTGGCGTGATGGGCAAGCTCCTACATCTCCGATCGGCTCAGGGATCAGACAGTACGCGAGGCACAACCTGTCAGACAAGCAAGAGTCGCAGTTCTGTGACGAGATGGACGCCTGGGTCGAGAATGGCTACCTGATCGAGTACGACAAGGCTACGTACGGTCCTCCGGCGGCCATCATTCCGCTGCTCGCCAAGGACCAAGCCCACAAGGAGTCGACCCCAGTTCGTCCTTGTCTTGATTACCGTGGCTTGAATGCGGTGATTAAGTCGAACCCAGGCACTGATGCCCCAGCATGCGGTGAGAAGATCCGCAAGTGGCGACAGGTTGCAGACAGCCAGTTTGAACTTGTCGACATACGTAAGGCGTACTTGCAGGTACGAGTCGACCCATCCCTCTTGCGCTACCAAGTCGTGGTGTGGCGTGGGAAGCTGTACGCCATGTCACGGATGGGCTTTGGTCTATCGATTGCACCAAAATTCATGGACATCATTGTTCGGTGGGTGACGCGACGATGGCCTGATGTTGACAACTATGTTGATGATGTCCTCACGCCAGCGGAGAAGCGCAAGGCTGTCGCTGCAGAGCTAGCACGGTATGGCTTGCCGACAAAGCCACCAGAGCATCTACCCGAGGCGCGAGTGCTTGGCCTGAAGCTATCGACGACTGCTGATGGTACCATCATGTGGGCTCGCCGTGATGGAGTCGACCTCAGCTTCCGCCAACCGCTGACGAAGCGTGGTGTATTCCAATGGACAGGTCGGCTCACAAGCCACTATCCAGTGTGCGCATGGCTTCGCCCAGCCTGCTCAATGTTGAAGCGGCTATCAAGTGCAGTGGACAGATGGGACACGCCGGTTCCACCTAGCGTTCTTCAGTGTGCTGATGAAGTTGCTGAGCAGCTGTCCGCTCAAGACCCCGTCCGTGGTGTGTGGCATGCATCAGCCGAGTCCGATGGAGATTGGGCTGTGTTCTGCGATGCCTCGGATCTGGCAGTTGGTGTGGTCCTCCAGCTGAACGGCCAAGTCATCGAAGACGGTACATGGCTGCGGGACACAGCCGATAAGAAGCACATCAATGTGGCGGAGCTAGATGCTGCGGTGCGTGGACTGTCGCTTGCAGCGCAATGGCACCTGCAGACGGTACGACTCGTCACCGACTCAAAGACAGTGTACGGCTGGCTGAAGCAGGTCCTCGACAATGTGCGCCGAGTGAAAGTTGGTGGGCTGCACAAGATACTGGTTGAGCGGCGACTGGAAGTGATTGCTGACCTCGTCCAAACGGTCGGCCTCAAGGTCCGAGTGGAGTGGGTGCCGACTGACCAGAACCCGGCCGATGAGCTCACCCGTGTCCCGAGGCGGCGGCCCAAGGGTACAGCCGAGCCGAGTGATGTTTGTTCTGTTTCTGTGGCAACGCACAAGCATGCTATCGGGCCCGTTACTCTCAGTGAGATAAAGGATGCGCAGCAAGCCGATACCGAGATATCACAGCTGCTGGATGAGCTGAAGTCGGGAACCCCCCTGTCGTCGAAGCTGTACAGACCGGTCCGTGATCAGCTGTTGGACCATGACGGTGTGCTGATGCGTTCAGTAAAGCTGCCACTCGACGGTGTCGTGCAAGTGCCAGTCATACCACCTGAGCTTGAAGACCAAGTACTGAAAGCATCTCACAAGACCTCTGGCCATGCCACCTGGACGACAATGCATGACTCACTGCGCAAGCGCTGCTATATGCCGCTGATGGCCGAGAAATGCCAGAGTGTTGTCCAAGCGTGTGTGCCTTGCTCTGCAGCTAACCCGGCACGGGGACCGACTGTTGAGCCAACGCGTCCAGACGTACCAGGACGACCATGGGAGGTCATACAGATCGACACGGTGGAGCTTGGCCAGAGTGGAGCGCACCACTGCTGCCTGGTATGCGTCGACATGTTCACCAAGTGGGCGGAGGTACAGCCACTACGTCGACACGATGCAGCGAGCGTAGCAGCCGCACTGACCAAGATCTGCTGCCGGTGGGGCCCGCCGTCTGTCATTCGCATGGACAACGGCACTGAGTTCCGGAACGCGGTCGTAGCAGCCCTCCTGGAACAGTTTGGTGTGGTGGTGAAAACGGGTGCAGTTCGACATCCTCAATCACAAGGAGGGGTTGAACGGCTCAACCGTACAATCATCGGTCAGGCGCTCGAGGAAACCAGTGACTGGACGTCTGAGCTGGAGTTGGTTCTGTTCTACTACAATGGACGTCGCCATGCTACAACCGGAATATCGCCAAGGCTGGCCATCACGGGCTGGGAAGGGCGCGATCTAGTAATTGATCACGACCCGACAGCATACAGCGCCAGTGAATGGGTAGACCGACTCGCCGGGCGCGCTGCTCGAATTCGAGACCTTGTTGAGTCGCTACTGTCCTCGAATGACTCTGTGTCAGGCGGTCCAACAGAGTCACCATACCGTGTCGATGATCCGGTGATGCTACGTCGCCCAGAGCGGAGTCAGAAGCTCATGACGCCATATGAGAGTGGCTGGACGGTGCTGAAGATAGTCTCGCCATCGACCCTGGTGATCCAGCATGCTGACGGCAGAGAGAAGGTCGTGAACGTTGATATCGTGAAGCCTGGACACGCCCAGCAGGTAGATGGAACACTAGATGATGGTAACCATGATGCTGCCGAAGATCGCCCAGAGCCAGCTGCCTGTGATAATGTGGTGAGCATCGAGTTTGCGGCTGACATGCCGACTCAGCGCTACGATCTCCGAGGCCCTGGTAATCGACGACAGCCAGCTAGATACAGTGGATGATCAATGGCACCTAGGGGAGTGGTGTTATGAACTGCTATATTAGGTGCCTTATGACTCTTGTGTCACACTGTATGTTGCTATGCATGCTGTGTACACGCTCACCCATATGCGCGCGCCTCTGCTTTATGTGTACACCTCTCATGCTGTGCATGTGTCCACGTGCGTAGCTGCACTCCTTTCTCAGATTGCATGCCCGTCTTTCTGTACTTCAGTA